CATTAGCTGCAGCTGCACCGTATGCATCACATCCAGCAGGAGCATCAATATCAACCCAATAAAATGACAGAAATCTATATTTTATTCACCAAAACTTGTGATTATTTGAACACAAACTCCTTCCTCCTTTCTTTCATCATAAACAGTTTAATCAGCTAATCCACGTGTTTCACTTCCAACAATACGTCCAGTTCTGTCTCCATGGAGATGAAAGTTGGGTCTGTCTGGTCGTGTTTTTAGCACAAGTTTTAATTTGTTTTAAGGCTGACAATGTCCTCTTGCTTATCTTAAAAAAACAAAACAATACTTTATGATAAAGTTTTAGCTCGTGCACGTCGCTACAGATATGAATCGCGAGCTTTGGCTGAGCTCTCTGACCATCCAATCAGACGACATGAAGATGCTGATGTTATCGTACGCCAGCTAGCTGGTCCTGGGACCACCAACTCTAAATCTGGTTAAAGCAACAGTTTCATTGCGATGCATTTTACGCTACAGGCGCCTGCACTTTTGATTCTGAAGGCCTCAGGGCAGATTTCTTTGACCCTGACAACACATGATGGCTGAAATATGATTGGATAAAAGCTGGAAGCACCACAGTCCAGAGACACGCCATGAAATAAAGAGAATAGACTGATGGGAAAATATTCCAACCTAAGTCAGTGATTGTGAGACTTTAGGCCTTGCTGGCTCTGACGGCACACCTTCAGTAGACATGTTGCAGACTTCTGTGTAGTGCAGGCAGCTACCAGTTCTATGGCAAGTACCAGCAGGTCATCCAAACACTGTGTCCCTCTTAGTTCATTTCTGTACCAGGCTGATATCTATTTTTTTTTATTTGCGCTGCTGTATCTAATCTGTAGTGATGTGAAATATCAATGTCATTCTCAGTTGATGTGGAAGATGTGTTAACAGATGCTACGACTAGTTAGCTTTATTTTACAAAAAATTAAGAATAAAGGTGATTTCAGCTGTGTCTTATGTACATCTGTGTTGATCCCATCCATGTTGGTCTCCATTAGTTATTTTCTCTAGTCTGAACAGGTGTGGCTATGGAGCTATCTACACTTGATTTAGTCTTTTTTTCTATTTTTTTAATCCCACCTGCAGAGCTTTACTTGATTGATTGTTTCTTGAGCAGCAACAGAGAACCTTTTAATGAGCATCCCTATTTTAATTCGCTCAATGAATCAGAGCGGTGGGTGGTGATTAAAATGATTTAGATAATAATGTGACAACAGGGGGAATGCATGGCTAAGAGGATGCTTTTCACCTGTGACACCTGCAAGAAGGCCCGTGTGGCCCGGACTGTGATTGCACAGCTGCTGCAGTTGCTGCTGAAAATAAATGACGCCATTAAAATTAATGACAGAAAACCAAACCTCTTTCAACATAGCAAAATACCACAGGCTCCTTATCATGATCACAATACTGAGTGGCTCAAGAGGCCCAGATTAGACAGAGAAATCGTGGCATGGGGCCGTGAGGACCTCATGTGACCAGTAAAAGGCCATGACATTAGCCTGTGGGTACAGGGAGTGGCTGCACTGAGTGCCTTTAGTGGTCAACCAATCGCTTTCACTTGTGAAACAATGGGCCTCCTTCACTGCGCTGTGCACTTGACTGAAGTCTAGCGAGCTGCTGCGGTTTATACCAGAGAGTGTGATTCATATTCCTGTATTGCTAAAGTCAGCAAACTAGTCAAAGCTTCTTTGGGGGATTATCATTATTAATTGGCTATCGGTGTGATCGTCGATGATGTAACTTCCACTTCGACTGCTGTCAGTATTTGTGCAAATGTGTTTAAAAGTGTCGGCTCGTGCGTCCCAGTTGTTTTGTCACCCCGGAGACTCGTGATTAGCAATTTTTTTTTTTAGTGAGTTTCTTAAATGTGACATCAGATTAGTTATTGGCAGATTTATGTCAGTAGGACAGAGGCTGCAGCGGAGCATTGTGGGAATGCTGATCTAGTGGGTTGTGGAGGATTAGGGTCAGCAGGAGTAAGGAGCTCAGGCCTGCTTTTCCACAGCCTCTGGTCCTGAGTCTGCAGTTCAGTCTAGTTCATGTACACATATATGTCCTTACTGTCATGTTATCGGACGTTATAATATAGTTTGTCCTGCTGTATGTCTGTACGTTAGCGAGCACTTATCCACGGCTCACCGCGCGTACTTTTCCGGTCACAATGCGGCGCTCTGTTCCGCGCACATGACCTCTTACACATAACCGAAGAATTCAAATCCCATGCAGTCCGCAACCAGTGAACCGGCACTTTGCTCCCAGCGGCACACAGAGAAGGAGTCTTGAGGTTAGTTGGTTCAAACTCAGCAGGTCTTGCACCCATCGCCCTGCTCTCCACTCATTGGCTTTGTCATTCCAGCTGCGATAGTGTCTGTGAACAGAGAGCATTATTCATGTCCTCAGAGGGGGGCAAGTCCTAATTGAAATTCCGGTCTTTTCCACTGGAATGAAGCGGGCCTGCCGACACCCACTGTATTATGCTGGCCCTGTCACCTTGAAAGGCCCATCTGGAGACTGTTCACATTCCTGGGCAGCAGAAAAGACCCATTAGAAAGAGAAATTGTCATTGTGTAACAAAAAAAAAGAAAAAGGATGAATGAAGCGGGACAGAACATTTGGGCGGGATGGGAGCGTTACAGTAGCGTTCGCTATCTATGATTCGAGTTGACCCTATCCTCTGTGCTGCAGTAACTAAAGGGCTGGACTGTCTGTGGTTGCTGGCTGCCAGTGTGGTGTGCATGCTAATGACTGGGTGAATGAATCAGTGCCATTCTGATAGAGGAGGAATGAGTACAAGGAACCTCTTTCTAGTTAGTTCACCCTCACAGCAGCCTACTGTCTTGGTCTGTCTACTGTCTCAGAACAACAACTGTACATATTGATTTATTGTGGACTGTATATCACATGGGAAAAAGCTAAAAAAATTTGCTCAACAATTTCAAAATAAATGTCCAAAAACAGCTCATTTACACTCACGAGAAACTGCAAATTCTCACATTTGGGAGTCCGGGACGAGTAGGATTTCAACCCTAAGTGACACACACTCAGTTCTTTTCACTTGTCTCACTCATGTCAAGTTTTTCTCTGTTCAGCGCCACAATATAAATGAAAATCTAGTTGTGATTTGTGGAAATTAGGCCGTGGTGCGTCAGAACTGCGTAAACCTCCCTTGTTGAGGATGGCATCACCGTCAGGATCCTTGTTCTGGCCTGTCTGCCTGCCTCGCCTAGTCAGACATGTGTTCTGTTCTGCTGGTTGATTCATCAACTCTGGTCTGTTTCTCTCGGCATGAATAACAATCAGCTGTTGTTCGGATCATATCTTTTTTTTCTGGAACCAGCTGTTCATTAATCATTCCCATGATTGTGTGTATTTAGTTTTGGTATCAGAGGAGGAACTTGTGTGTTCCAGGTGTCTAACACTGATCGTCTTGTTCTGCTCTGAAACTTTGGGTTCTGGCGTTCATGAGGATGTTACTTATATGTAGCACCCACCTAAAGCCCAAGGTCTTGAACTGGACTCTGAATGCCCCAGATCCTAATTCAATCAAACAAAATATGCCGGAAGTCCAGTCCACAGAGACCCAGCCCCCCCAACCCACAGATCCCAAAAACCTGCTACCAATGTCCAGGTGCCAAACATCAGAGGACCTGTGTACAAACCCTGATGGATTAATGTTGTTGTCCGTGCACAAGGTGGCTGAACACAATATTAGGCAGGTGGTTTTAATACTTGAACCCATTTTAAGGAGTAAAAAAAATCTCATATTAACATGCTGGCTGATATTAGTTGTCTTTAACTTCCCAGTAATGAATGTCCAAAACTAGTTTGTGACTAGACACCACTTAACTCCGCACCTTCTCTGCCACATGTGCTGCCGACAGTGCTGTAACGATTGTAAACTAAAACCAGGAGTCAGAACTGCTCTGCTGGACAAACTATGTGATCACACTGTTCCTAAATTACTCCAAGAATCTTTTTCTAACATTCTGTAATAGAAAATCTTCATATTGGGCTAGCTTTAGCCACATAAGCACCGATAACGATATACCTGGGATGGGCCAATATGTCGGCCAACTGATATATCAGTCGAGGTCTGATTTTAATGTTGTTGTTGCTCAGGGTGTCAAAAATCCCTGTATTATTATTTAGGAGTTTGAGGTTTGTTGTGTTAGTTTTGTCCATAGTCATTTAAAATGTAGTTTATACCAGTGGTCCCCAACCTTTTTGGCACTACAGACTGGTTTCAAGCGTGACAATTTTTCCTCGCGCACATTACAAATAATAAGAGTTCTTTCTATTAAAAAATGTCATAAACTACTTTTTCTTCTGTCTCAGCATCAAGTCTGTCCCTCTTTTCAAAGAAGCTCTCCAGAGAAGTTTGGTTTTTTCTTTAAATTCATTTTGGTTAGACTGACGGCTTCGTTTGACGGCCGGACATGAGAACTGATGGAGTCAAGCGCGGGCGAAACTGACAGGAAGACGAGCGAGTCATTTTTTGAAATAGAAAATCCTGCAGACTCCGTTGGAAATAAAAATAAACCAATAAACATTTGTATTCTTTCTGTGCGGCCTGGTACCAAATGACCCACGGCTTGGTTGGGGACCGCTGGTTTATGCTATTGTTTGGTGAGATGTGATGACAATATTCCATTTGAACTTCTTTTACTCTACAGTATAAACAGGACAATGCTAGCTAGGCAATAATAGAGTGGGCAATTAGTTTAACGAACCATGCAGTCGGTACACCTGGTATTGAGTGAATGCAAACATGTAGTAGCAGCTATACATGGTGCAACCAGTTTCACTTTTGTGATTCGCCTTACTCATAATCTCAGTTTATCGTGACAAGTTTGAACTCTGGTGCAAATGGACGACACCATATTGACGTTTACTTTGTGATCATGCATTTTGTCCCTCGCCAAAAATAACAACACACTGTTATTTTTCTTCTCTCTCCTCTTTGTCCTCTTTGCCAGGGATCGAGCTGTGCCTGCCAGGATGGCGATTCTCCATGACCATGGTGGCCAGTTTTGTGGTTTTGGGTGGTCAGCTGCTGATGCCCATGGTGGCGTACCTCTGTGGCGACTGGCAGGTACTTCAAGCTGTCATCATCTGTCCCCTGCTGCTTATGCTGTCCTACATTTGGTAAGGAAAAGACCTTAGCATGAGCTGCTCTTTGGTACCAAGTTGTCTTTATGTTTTTTTGTTTATTCTGTTGAAGGTGGGGAAAGTGTTTTAATTCTATGCGAGACTTCTCCACTGCTGCATGCGGTGCCGTCTGCCACAAACATGGGTGGAATTTTAAGCAACCAGTGTTTTCTATAGTCTGAATTAAACCTTGTTAATACAAAAAATGCCTTCACAGATTCACCTAAAGAATTGGAAAAATCTTACCTCCAAGGGCTTTTTTTTTTTTCCAGCAGTGAATTTCCAGCTGAATTAAATATCTTTTAGTTAACCCAATTGCTGTGAACTCTGCTGCGACTGCAACTCAGGCAGTAAACGCTTGTGTATTTTTCTTTCTTGATGCCGCTCTACAATACTGCTGATGTGTACAAAAGGCAGCGAAAGTAAGAAAAAAAAAGCCAAGAATATAGATTTTGTCACCGAGTATCAAAGACCCCAAAGAACAAAAAGGACTTCCATTCAAAAAAAAGTACTCCAGAGCACAAATTGGATCAAACGTCAACGCCGGTGATAGAGTGTGCCGTCTGATGGGGGTTTCCACAGCAGGTACAAGAAACCTCTGGCACAAAGAGACAACATGTGGTTTTTAAAACATATTTCTACTGCAGGATCTTCTGTGTTGTTGGTTGTGTAGAGAGTGTCCTCATCACTCAGCAGCTGTGCGGTTAAGTTGTGGAAAGGATTCGTAACAGATAGTCGTCTGCTTTGATGCGGCCTTGCTGTGCCGAAGAACGACACAATTCAAGGACTTTCAGCTGGTTGTGAATCCAGGGCAATTTCTCAGTGATATTAATATACATTGCACAGTGAACTCAGCTTGACAGAGCTTTTATTGTCTAGCCATCTCTCGTGCAATACCGAGGCATCACTCCACATGTTCTCCACACACACACACACTGCTGAGATGCACTAATGCATTAGTCGGCCTTCGCGAGAGCATTCAGGGAATTTCGAAAGAATGGAGCCATGTTGACTTTCTTGATTAAGCCAAACAGCGTTTATGGGCACAACTTGAATTCATCACAACCGCCTGACTCTGCGAATGTAGAAATAGCGCTGACTGGGCTGCAGATTTCAACCCTGCAGGTGATCTTAGTTTGCTGATTTGTGGAAACGACTGCAAACCGCAAAAAATGATGAAACCGGCACTTTAATTTTGTGTTCACACCTGTTCCATGGACGTTCAAGCAACTGCTTTGTTTCACAACTGCCTTCGCACGAGCGTTGCACTCTTTCTGCGTGCAGATACTCGACCGCTCAGAGGAATATACGTAATGTAATGCAATACAAATACCATTTAGCAGAGCGCACCGTATGAAAATAGCCTCGGGGGTCGACGGCGGCTGTGAGGCAGCACCTGTACACGGCGTAGAGTGTTTGTGTGTGACGCTGCAGAGGACCGATTTCCACTTCAGGATACAAGTCATAATCTGTTATTTGTTCAAAAATATGGTTACGTAATTATTCAAAATGTGTTGAAATGGAGACACAAGATGTAGCTCTGCTCGCCGTGACTAAATGAGATTTCAATCAGCCTTCTGAAAGGAGGACTCGTTTTCCTTCTGACTCATTTTTCATGTCATATTAACAAGGACATCCCCCATCTTTTCCACAGGATCTTCCCTGAGTCACTGCGTTGGCTGCTGGCCACTCAGCAGTACTGCCGCTCCAAGTGGATCATGGGACACATAGCGAAGAAGAATCGAGTGAACATGGAGCTCGACACTGACAACATCCTCACAGGTGAATACAAAGTGCATCGACGTTCATTTAAAGAAATCCGACATTTTTATGACTGCGTGCAGGGTTGATTTTTATTTATTTTTTTGTCAAAATGCACCTTGTGTCGTCGTAGTAGCTGCGTACGCTGTTGTCTGCCAAGCTTCTCCTTATCTTTGAAGGACAGGGTGTCCGTTTGCACACCATGTCCACCCTCTCCAGCTGTTCTTTCCTAAATAAGGCGGATTGACAAGGTTACATCCATTTCCTGTCTTGTTACCATAGTAACATGCCACTACAGAGGTAGCAGTGGGTGTCGAACATTACATTATGACACTCTCAAACGTTCATTAATTTCATTATGTCCTGGACGAGTGGACACGAGCGGACACAATGGTGCACAGATGGCAAATTGAGGCCGGTCGTGCCCTCTGACCCCCGGGTTAACTGTCTGCACTCAGCGGATGAGCCGGCGGCTAACAGCAGAATGAACCGTGGTGTCAGAAGTCACTGCAGATTGCATTAAGCTTTAACAGCGGCCTTTAACGTGGCACACGTACGTTTTCATGCTGCCAAAGCATATCGTACTTATCAATACAAAACAATGTGCCACTGCTGGGGAACAGGCTCCAAGAGGAACCACTCAGTGTGAAATTGACTGCTCTTTTTACGAACTCAGAGGCTGTTTGCTGATGCAGCATTTAGAAGAAGAAGAAGAAAAAAAAAAGACATTAATTTATCCGTTCCTGTTTTTATAGTAACAGTCTGTCCCCAACCCTTCCAGTACTAGTACTGTAGTATTTCAAACGCTCAGCACAAAATGCAGCGTTGGGCACTGGCTGTACTTATCAGCGCCACAGAAGAGAAGCCGAGGAACCTTTTCGAGCACCGAGGCATGACTGATGCATGTCTAACGACTGATTAGGCCTCCTTTGGAAAGTGAGCGGAGTGATTTGCATAGATTTGAGTGGGGATAATCTTACACAAGGGTTTGTAACTTGGCCAAGGGGGGGGATCACTGGAAAGCCTGAGTGGTTTAGCCAGAGATAACCTTGAAGGGCTGGTGTGGAATGCCGTCACATGCCTGAGTCAACATGCTCGTACAGTACCGCCAAGCCGAGCTGCGTTTCTGTGGCAACCCGCAGCCTGATACCAAAACATCCGCATGTCAGACACCAGCGGCGGCAGCGGCGGCGGCTCAGGGGTGCGAGCGTTGTCATATACCTGCCTCACCAAACGGCAGGGGACGAGCTGCGAGGGGATGAAGCGTGCTCATTAAAAATACATGTGGAAATTTCTGTGGTTGTAATAAATCAGGGCTGTCCTCGCTTGACTCTTTCCAGAACCCAGACAGATGTCAAACTCTCCTTTTGATTCGAGCTTTCGGCGGATAGACACCGAGGTGCCCTCATACGATATAGTGCAATCCAATACACGGGCCCTGCCAGGAATTCTTTTACAAAGTTGATAAATTTTGGCTGGCTGTTGACACTGCCAGAAATTTCATTTATGCGTATTACGGAGGTTGTACCGAGTGTTTTACTGCAGTGCATTAAAGGGATTGTTTTTATAGTATTCTGCCCTCCTCAAGGGCGCGCACGGAAACGGGGTGAACAAAACACGAGACGCAGCTTCAGCTACGAAAATTAAAAACTGAGAAGATGTTACGAGCTTCATAAAAGCGGAATTCATTAATTATATTAGATTGTACAGGAGACGCTCATAAAGTGGTCAGTGTGTATTGACTTAACACTGAATTATTGATATGTATTTGCAGGAATATATATGTATTTACTAACAGAAATTGAATGAATTATTTGAGTATTTTATTGGCTGTGATTGAGGTATTTTCAACCCTTCATTCTGTTTTGTTTTGTTTTTGTAATGCATGACAAGAGTATTAATTTCCATTTATTGTGTGTTTACTGTTGCTGCAAGTCAAATTCAAGAAATAATTGAAAAGAAATTGAAAAAAATCAACTCTAGCTACAATTATTATCACTATGAATACTGACAATAGGAACTTTATTTGTGTAGATAATAATAAAATAGATTAAAATACACTTGAAATCAAAAGTTTACACACAGTATTCTTTTTTTTTTTCTCAGTGTCTGGCATTAAATCGGACAAAACTTTTCCTGTTTTAGGTCAGTTAGGATTACCAAAATTATTTCTATTTGCTAAATGCCAGAATAATGAGAGGGAGGATTTTTTAGACAATTTTTTAAAATTACTTTCTTCAAATTTAGAAGTTAACATCCACTAAAATGCCTTCAAACTGTTTGGGAAAGCCCAGATGATGATGTCATGGCTTTGTAAGCTTTTGATTTGTTAATTGATAACATCTTAGTTATTCGGAGGCACACCTGTGGATGTATTTTAAGGCACACCTCAAACACACTGCTTCCTTTTGTGACAACCATGGGAAATCTAAAGAAATCAGGAAGAGAATCGTGGACCTCCACAAGTCTGATTCATCCTTGGGTACAACTTCCAGATGCCTGAAGACGCTTTCAAAGCAAAACATCAAGGGGGGATTGTGATTCTACAAAACGTATATCATCGTGACACAATCTGTGTTTCCTTGTTTCCAGAACTCCAAAGAGCTCTTCAGAAGAAGCCCAAAAAGACGTGCATCGTGAAAATGGTGGGGACGAGAAACCTGTGGAAGAACATCGTGGTGCTCTGCGTCAACTCGTAAGCGTCTCGTATTAGTGCGAAGAAACGTGTCTGGATATCTATTTGTGCATGTGTAGGGATGAAAGAGGAGATTAAAAAACAATAAATTAATGCGGGTGCACGCTGGTATGTGTGCGCAGGGAGCAATGCCAGTCAGGCCCGCCATTTTGTGCAGCCGAGATGCCAGCGTTAACCTGCAGGCTCGATACAACATTGATCTTTAGCCCTCATTTCTTTTGTCCTTCCATATTTGTGCTGCTCTCTCTTTCCCCCCTCCAGTGGGATCTCTCCTCTCCTCTCTCCTCTCCTCTCCTCATCCGAGACCTCATCTCTAGCTCGGCAGACCCAGCTTTACCTCTACTTCAGTGCACGGTGTCCCTGACTCCCTAAGTTAACATAAATTTTACATGAGCTTTGTCCTTTTGAAACATTAGACAAGCAGGGAGGGAGGGTGTGAGCGTTGGCTTGTGTTTTTTGTGTGCTTGTGGGTGTGTTCCTTTGTGGCGATAAGTCAGTGTTTACATATGTGCAGTTTCACGATGAGAGAAAACGTGATGAAATGGAGTCGTCTCTTTTCCTCCAACCTCTCCATCTGTTAGCTTTGCTTGGATCTGGGTTTCTTTTTATTCTGTTGTTTTTCTCCCTCTGTGCGTATCATTTTACTTCTGTTCGACCTACACTACTTTTACCATACTGTGTTCCCGCTACATCTTAAGTCAGGTTTCCTCTACGTTAACCGCTGTATTATTTGATATTTCCTTATGTTTTTAACTCACCACCCTTCCCTCTGTTTGCTCTGCATCCAGGCTAACCGGCTATGGGATCCACCACTGCTTTGCCCGCAGCATGATGGATCAGGAAGCCATGGAGACCACCATGTTCCATAACTTCTATGCAGACTATTACACGATGGCGGGCATCGCGGTGGCGTCGTGCATCGCGCTGTGCCCCGCCGTGGGCCTGATGGGCCGGCGCGGTGGCCTCCTTATGTTCATGATCATCACCGCTCTGGCCTCGCTGCTGCAACTGGGCCTGCTCAACCGTGAGTACTTTATGAGGAACACATGTCTTCTTCACATTCTCCTCATTCCTGAGGAGTGACGCCACGATGATGTAGTTTTGTTGGATTTGAATATGGGTGGTTCCTCCATAGTGAAAACACTCCAAGAATGCTTTTGGCAACAACATTGTTCAGTTCTGTAGGAGTTCTCGGACATTTTGTGAAATGATGAGAAGATCAATACGACTCTCAGGTTTGTTAAATGTAAACCTAGAGCGTGCAAGTGATTAGCTTAGCTTCACAGAAGGACTTTAAGCAACGGGAACCAGCTATGAAATGATTTCCAACATGTAACTCCTGATAAACCCACAACTTGCTCTATGTACATTACGGCATATGTTCAGTAGACAAGCAAAGTATTTATGGTGCGATCAATACGTTCTGAGACTGTGCCTATAAAAAAAAAATCAAAAACAATACCTGATTTAAAGTGGCTGACGTCCACGTCGGACTAATCTCCTCGTACAGCGATGCTGTGCTCCCTGGAAGCACCGTTATGTAACCGTGTCAAGCACCATCTGGGATGAAGCTGAATCTCCTAAACTGTGTCAAAACAGCAACCCTTCAACTTGAATATCATTTCGGGGACTCGGAAGAAGTCACAGAGATTCAGCTGTAGTAAATAGGGCAGGTGGGGGAGTGCCGTTACATAATCGCTGCTGTGACCAGGTGCTCAGTGGAACACCCGCATGCCATCGCGCTCCAGGTCATTTGAATGTTCTACCTCAAACACCAACAGCAGAACTCCTGATGCATGCTCCTGACCAGACACACCTCGCCTGATGAGGGCTTTTCCACTGTGACGACTGTTTCTTCTCCTGATGGTAGCTGCAGATCCAACCCGTTATCACCGGAGACGATCCTTAACATGAAGCTGGGCTCGTCCTGAGCTTTTTGACTGACAGAATGTCTCTCGTCTGCTGCTCTTTGCGGTACACGGACAATTTGAAAACGGACACCTTCCAGTAATGCACAGGGTCCGCTGTTGATAAAACGAGAACCAGGAACAGTCCCTGAACTTTTTTTTAATTGCACCACATAAGGTGTAAAATACAAAGTTCCATGTGAATCACTCGCTCATAAACTGTACAGCATACCGTAAATTTCAGACTATTGAGCGCACCTGAATATAAGCCGCACCCACGAACTTTAAAAAGAAAAGAAAATTGTACATATACAGGCTGCACTTGTCTATAAGCCGCAGGTTGTAACATGAGATATTTACACAGAAAGTTTTTTTTAAAACTTTTAATTCAATACGTAACATACACAAATACAGTAAATGTTCTTTTTCCCGAACAGTGCCTGTAACACAGCTGGTTAAAGAAATAAAAACTACAGCAGCCTACCAGGAAAAGTCCCTGATCGCTATCTTCATCTTCCTCCTGCACTGAAACCACTAAAGTCGTCTTCTTCAGTGTCGGAGTTGAACAGCCTCAGAATCACTTCGTCACACGCTTCCTCAGTCTCTCTTTCGTTGTCGCTCTTAGTATCACTTTCATCAAATTCGTAAAAATCCATAAATAAGCCGCATCATTGTTTAAGCCGCAGCGTGTGAAAAAGTAGCGGCTTATAGTCCGGACATTACGGTAATTACGAACGACAGAATCTGGGATTTTAAAACATTACACAATGCTCTTTTAGTAATAGTAAAAAAAACACATAAAATATATATATACAATATATTGAGGCTGGATTTTATTAGCTGCTTAATTCCGTAGTGCTGTTGTGCCTCCTCAATGTCACACAATATGAACTCTTGAACACGGAAAAGTCATCGCTAAGGTCAATGACAACACCAACGCTTTACAAATATTTGTCGAAATGTCTTCCAGACATACTTGTTTCACAAGTGCACGTGTTTAAACAGGGCACCGGTCGTCCAAACGCTGACTCGTTGTGACCTTACACTCTGTCTCTTGTACACACACACACACACACACACACACACGATGCTTCCTTGTTGTTCGGACCTTTCATACATTCTGCCGTTTCTAATGAAGTAGGCGAACATGATTACACTGTTTTTAGTCAATGTGTACCAAAAGTGCACCGGCTGATCAAAACAGTACACAGTTACAAATGAGCTGGACTTAATGTTTAACCAGAGTCAACACACCAAGGTTATGCTCATGGTTCCCGCTCCCTTGTGAAATTGTTTATGTTGTTCCGCCGTGTTGACCAGCTTCGCTCAACATGTGTGCATATTTTTGACGCCTGGTCGACTTTATTGTCTGAGTGCTTGTGATGATTCTGGTGCTTGTCGCTGACACACAACCTCTGTCTCTGTCTCTCCTCTAGTGCTGGGGAAGTACAGCGTCCACCTGAACATCGGTAGGATCATCTGTTTATTTATGTTCTCTTAAGGTCTTGTGTGCTGATGATGTTTGAGTTGAGGGAGTTCGACTGATCAATATTTGCTCGCCTGAATGCTTTCCCACTGTTACGATTACAAACTTCACATTCTTTCGTCATGTGGAGCGAATCGACTCGCTCGGCCTGCCGCACTGTCTTGATGAGCTTTTAGAAAATGTGCTGCATGCAGACGTCCTGCAGCATTTCATTAGGCGTACACAAGCCCTGCAGAGACACATAATGAAGTCCTAGATGTAATTATGGCGAGCTTTTCACTTTATTTATCTCCTTTGTGTTGAAGAGGGTGCACCTCTTTGTGAACTCACCATCAACCTTCCTTCTGCTGCTCCTTCCTCTTATCGGTCTCTTTTATTCTCTCCTGGCTAATCCCTCTGTGGGAAGCAGGAGCTGATCACAGAGCAGCCTCCTCTGATGCTCTCTGTGCCATCTTTAGCATGTCTTATTCATAAAACACTGCATTCGAACCTCCTCTGGACTGAATTGGCGCTTTGTTTGCGAGCCTATTTCTAGAAATCTCATAATAAAATAGGGCGAAAATGTATTTAATTAATGTGTCTGTTGACGCTGTTCCAAGAGGTTAACCTTACAGCTAGTAGTGATTGTGATTATATTTTCTAAAATGGCATGAAAGAAACGCCATATGATCCAATTCTCAGACACCCTTTAAGTGATAATAGACATATTTATTATTCTGGACCCTCAGTTGAAGTGATTTTACTTTGAAATTTATTTGTCTAATTTATAAAATTGGACCGCTCATTTCTAGATGGTATTTTTAAGTTTTAATTTTATCAATTTGGGGTTTTTTTTGTTTATATAATGCTGTAAATTCAGTGTTATTTACATTTTATTGTGAAATATTCAGTGTACAGTTGCTTATAAAGTGTTAAATTATGGCATGTGTTTGCTTCCATATATCCTTTTTCCTGTTAACCCGTCGTCAGCATGCCATTGTCTACTCTCTTTATACTGAATCTAAACTGAACTGCTGCCATATTATCTATTGCAAATCATAATCCAGATAGTCCAGACCATCATGTTGGTGCCCAGAAAAGGTGGTGACAGAGCTCATCTAGCACAGTTAGAGCTAAACACGTCCAGATTATGAAATACTGGAACATATTTATCAGTTACAAGAAGCTTTATGTGAGATATAAAGAATAAATTATAAATGTCTTATCATCTATTTATTTTGACCAGTTGATTTATGGGATGATCATCAGAACAGATGCTAAAAAAAAACAACTATGGATTCTTTTTCAAATGATTTGAAAAGGCAGCTTCTTTGTTTTTTTTCCCTCCCCAGCCCCCTAATTTACATGCACAGCACTGTTGTCCTTTCGCTGATCACACTGGGCGCTGAATGTAAATTGCTTGGTGTGTGTGTGTGTGTGTGTCTCCTGCTTCGTCTGCAGATAGCTCAGATACGCTGAATAAGAACTTCTCCGTCGCCTTCTCCATCATCGGCATGTTCTCCTCCCACGCAGTCAGCAACCTGAGCATCTTCTTCTGCGCTGAGATCACACCCACTGTGATCAGGTAAGCCCACCGAAAAAAGAAAAAAAAAAAAGGACCGTACCATCAGAGACGGGGGAGAGAAATGTGGAAAACTGTGCTCTTACTCATCGGAGAAGTCATCAGGCTGACAAGTGTTGCACAATTTGAAGACTTCCTCTCCTTTTTTTTTTTTTTTAAACTTTATTGTTCTGAGTCGCTTGTAATCCAGTCGATGCAGCGGTTTCTCTCCTTTGTGACAAACCAACCTGCAGACGGATGAGCTGCTCCACCTCCCGTCTAATGTGGGTATGAAATTATTGAACTGCTCGAAACAACAGACTCTCGCGGTTCAGTGTCAAGTGTAATCCGTGTCTCGTGCAAATTAGCCGTCCCCTCTGAGAATATGTGACACAGCACTTGATGTTCATTAGGTGGGGTTATTGAAGGGGTGATGGTGTTTGAAAGGCACCATCTGCTGGGGAGTTCAGGCAACGGCAGGCGGGGAATGAACTGCATGTCGATGAGGGTGTTTGTGGTGCTGCAGCACTCTCTGCTGCTGCTTGATAGAATGACAGAACACAAGGGCAAAAATCAGAGCTTCCCCTTATATAAATGATTTAGACGGCAGCTCTTGAGTGCAGCGTTTAGGTCAGAATTTTTTACTGTTTATAGGAGGTTCTACGGCGTGTCGGATCATCCCTAAGTCGTCGTCAGTAACATTTTGTGTCTCCCCACAGGGGTGGTGGTCTGGGCCTGGTCCTGGCCAGCGCCGGCTTCGGCATGCTGACTGCACCCATCATGGAACTCCACAATCAGAAGGGCTACTTCCTTCACCACATCATTTTTGCCTGCTGCACTCTCATCTGCATCATTTGCATTCTCCTGCTGCCTGAGACTCGCTACCAGCCGCTCCCCGAGACCCTGGCCGATGGCGAGAGCTACACTCGCCAGCCTCTGCTTCCCCCGAAGAAACCTGGAGAACAGCGCCTCTTGCTGGCCCAGTCCGAGAGCAGCAGGGACTACACCAGAGTGCACGACACGCCGCTCCACGAGGCCGCGGCCACCGCAGTGTCCACCATGGATTCCACCGCCTCGTCGGCCGTTGATCTGACGGTCGGAGATATATCCGCCCCCATGTTCATGGAGGTGTACCCCGGAAAGCCTGAGCCTAAAGACCCCAACGGTCACTCGGTTTCGTCCACGCCCGCGACCCCGGTCGCGGCGCAGGCTAAAGACGGCATCATACATGCCACTAAAGATCACCTGCTGTCTTCCAGTCTTTTACAAAACGCTCCATCTGTCACAGACCCACTTTTAGCTGATGCCGATGAACCTCCAGCAATAGTCTTGGAATCGGTTGAGCCACTTTCGGATTCTACGCCTCTTGAAATGAACGACGTTGGCGAATCCCCGACAGAAGAGGCAGACATCATCCCTGTCACGTCACTGGACACGTGCACTCCCACCATCTCTCAAAACGTCCCTGCCTCTTTGCTGATCTGCACCACACCCATCATAGAACCCCCGCCCAGCTCCACGTTAGAATCCCCGAACCCGCTGGGCAACGACATCGACACGATCGACGTAACACCTGACCCGCCTTTGCCGGAGGATGCTAACGCCGCTTTAGCAGACTCCCCAACTCCATCTCTACACGACAGCCTCCCTCCCTCCCCCGTTCCCGTGACAGACTGTGACATTTCCACTGACCCCCCGCCCTCCATTACCTCACACTCTGACATTCCCATCCAGTTAGAAATAGTAGATGAGTCCACAACTTCCCCTTCCGCTAGAGACTCCCCCATACCCTCTGTCATAGACTCCCAACTGCCTCAGTTAGATTCTACCTCTCCATATGTTGAAGGTACTCATTCCTCTACTCCCCCGAGCCCAGTCGCTGCTTCCCCGTCACCCACACCCCCTCCGCCCATCGACTTAGGCCTTGTGCCCTCAGCGGACTCTTCCCCTGCCCCGGCCATACATACTGTCAACACCCCTGCACCGGCTCCCACCATTCTCCCCGTGACAGACATTGCGCACCCCTCCACTCCAGAATCAGCCGCTCTGACTGTACCAGGTTCAGCTGCTTCCCCGGTCTTAGATTCAACCTCCATCACAGATTCAGGCTCCACAGAAGCCACTCCCTCCTCTCTAGTGGACTGCACAGTGTCCTCCCCCATAGACTCCGGCGTCCTCTCTATCAGGGACAGTGCCAGCACAGAAAACAACACTGTCAACGGCATGGCGTCGTCATGATCCAGCGCTGCCGCCAGGAAATGAAGCTTTAGGCGCTGCACCAGGAGGCGATCTAACCCACATGAGAAACAGCAGGAGAGGGTGGGGGAGGGGGGTGGGGAGGCAAGAACTTATCCTGCTCAGACTTCAGGCGCTTAATGAAGACTGTTCCCACCTGGAGTGGAGTAGACGTGGATTCACAGAGCTGCTGTACGTTTCTTAAAGCCCGCCCCCCCCCCCTCGTGCATTTAGCCAATAAACGAGACCACGCAAGTGAGATAGCGATAGACCGAGAGCGAGAGAGAGTGCCACAGGCTGGTTTGTGACGACGTGACAGTAAACTTCTGCTCTTCATTGAATGTCACTGGAAATCACCAGCGATTAAACTACTCTCATGTAAATGAATGGGAAATCATTGTCTGTTGTTTTTAAAGAGACTTCAAACTATACCCACAATCACTGAGACGTGTCATCAGCACTGGTGAAGAAATGCAATGATGTTTAAAACAGGAAAAAAAAAAAAAACAGAAAAGAAAAAGAAGAAAAAAAAATCACTGGTACTTTTGTTCGAATGTCCGTCTGACGTATTTGTATAAGAAAAAATGTCGCCTTACCTGTATGGACAAGAAAATCTGAATGTTACAAAAAGTACTTTTTTTTTTTTTTGCCATTATATAGGTAAACAATCTAAATTGGGGTGATTTTTTTATTTTTATTTTTTTTTTAAATACAATGCCAAAAACTACCCTGACCAAAATTCAAAGCAGACATAGTGCCAAAATGTGAGTAGCGATACAGTATTTGCCTGTTTGGGGGAAATGCTGTTTAGTCCCCTGCCATAGATTGTTTGTGGATTGAAGCGAAATCAGATTTTTCGAGATTCTGAAATCCAGGAGAAGACTGAAAGCTGAATGATCATTTGGTGAATTAGTCTGAGCTTAACTGCTTTCGTGGTTCATTGTACGAGCAGTGGTATCAGTGAAAACAATGACCCATGTTTTGTTGGTCCGAAGAAACTTTTATTTTTTCAATCGTTTCAGCCAATGAAATTTATGGTATGCAAATGATTTTCTTTTTTTTCTTTTTCTTTTTTGTTTTTTTTTTGTAAATGTGATAATGTAAGTAAATGGATAATTAGTTGTTGAGCTTGATTCTGTTTTTTTTTTAAATTCAAAGTATTATTTTAAATAATCTCCCATGGCGTGCCCTTATTGTACAAAGCTATACTTCATTCTTACAGTATTCGTGGCACCTCAGTGTGGTGGCACTTTATTTTTTATTTTTTTTGCAGTGGGGACAAAAAAAAGCATGAAAATTATTGTGAACGTGTCAGCAAAGCAAAACTATCAAAAGAAAAAAAAAAAAAAGGACTAAAAGCTATTTTTGAAATGAAACCCATGGATGACAAAAATGTTTGACGTGACTGCCGACCGGCGCAGCGTCGCTAACCTTTCAGTGTGTTTTCCGAATCATTTTCTGGCCATTAACATAAGTTCATGGATGCCATTGTGTTCATACATTCACACGCACAACTAAGTTTACCTTTAAAAGAAAAGAGAGGAGGAAGAAGAAAAACAAAGGCAATACTTAATACATTTGTCAAAATGACATTTTTAAAAATGCAGGTCACATCCTGACAGGTAGACGAACCTGTTGATATTCTTCAATTGACTCTTGCTTAAGGAAGCACTTTCACTTCCGTCTGTGGACAACATTATACTTGATTCAAATCTGTGTGTAACTTGACAGTTGGAGGAGGTTGTCATATTTGTCTAAAGGATGAGGTGTGATATACCACTGTTTACAACAATCCTCATAATAACAATAATGATGATAACTAATAATAATAATAATGATGATGATTACACTGTACTGTAAGCCTTTAGAGCCAACTGAATGATGTCTTGTCATTTCAAATGTGATGAAACTCTCACAGTATCTCATATTACGTGTATCCAGGGAGTATTGGCGATCTATTAAGATGTCATTCAGGAGTCAAACACAACACCAGACTTGACGTATGATGTTTTTTGTTTTGTTACCGTCTTGTGGTACATGTATGAAGAACCCTACAGGTGCTTCACTCGCACGAAAATTGGCTTTTGTCAAAGTGCACTGATGAAAGCCTCCGTGTTTCAGTGACTCAGCAAAAACCTACCTGAGGTTCCTCAAATGCAGCTTCAATCAAAGCGCGAGCGCTCTAATCTGGACTGGCTCGTTGGGTGGTCTTTTAATAGATCGTCGAGTCGTTACTGTTATCGAAACGTTCATTTAATGTCGATGTATGCCGTGCTGCTACGCCTCAAAGCACAATGACCTGCAATCATATGATGTCAGATTTGGTGGAGTTTGGACAGTAAAAGATAAAGAAAAAAAAAAAGGGAAAATGGAGTGGGGTTTTAAGAAAAATGACTTCTAACTCTTGCAATAGATCCGCATGGAATCTACTTTGTGGAGGAAGGGTGTTGACGCTGGATTTAATTTGAAATTCTTGGCATCTGCAGTGGAGAGTGGGTTGACTGCAGTGGTCGGTAGCTTCACATTACTCCGAGTTCTCGTTGTCTGTGAGTGTTGGTCTTTCTATCTCAGTGTGCAGAAATTGAATCGTGTATCGCCAAACCCCCCCCCATCCCCATCCCCATCCCCGTCCCCATCCCCATCCCCATCCCCGTGCAACACCAGTGTAAAGTCAGTGACACAGCACAATACTACCAGTGTCTTCTCTGAGATCTGTTGCTTCCACTTTCTCCCGTGCAGCTGATGGGAGCTATTACATCCCTTTGGTTTGACTTTATTAGGAGTAAGAAAAAAAAAAGTTCAGTGAAAGCAATCCAAAGCAATGTCAGCACCAGCGGTAGGGTAGACTGGTAGACACTAGTTGGAAAAAGCAAAAAAAATAAAATAAAAACAAATAGACTGGATTATGCCTTTGTAAATAGTAAGCGTGTGGAAACATCCGGTTTTCAGCAAAATGAAGGATCGCGGAATCGGAGCATTGAACTGGCGAGACTTGTTTCGAACTTGGCAAATACGTACGAGTCTCTGAGACGCAAAGTCGAGTCACCCGGTGTACACATTTCAGGTTTTGCTTCTCTCAGCCGTGCGACTACGAATCTCTTTGATGTGGAGATTTGAATGAATGTAAAAAAAAAAAAAAGACAAAACAAACAAAAAAAAAAACATGGATTGTACCATTTATAAGTTTCCAATTGTTTGGTTTCATTTTTTGTTTTATTTTGTTTTAACAGACATAATGCACTTGTACATAAGCCATACCTGTTGTTAAAATAAACCACTATTTATTGATCAACTGTGGCTGTCGGTGGGTTTGTTGATTATATCGTGACTGTTCATGGGGTCTCGTTAAGTTACTTCAGGGAGAAAGATAAAGAAGATAAAACTTCACCAGCCTGGCAGAGCATCCAACTGTCAAAGGCCCTCATGCATGATTACAGGGAATTTCATGCAAAAGGTTTAAAAGTCCAGCTGTTTGGATTCATTCTTTGAGAACAAATAATGCAAAACTGCCTTGATTTATTAGCATCATGACAGTAATAGTAACTGTCAGACCTACACTGCCTGCTCAAGGTGACGTTTTGGGCCTCCTGTCAACATCTAATTTTAATATATTTAATATTACTGTGTCTATTATGGTTGCAAGATGCATATCGTTTGCTAACTACCTGACATGGAGCAAACCCGAGGCAGGGCCCTAAAGAAATAGCCTGCTATAGTGTGTAGGGCTCAGCAGAACCGGTCGGGGAATGTCTTAGCTCATCTTTTTAATGCCCCAGTTCGTGTCATTTTCTAATAAGAGCATCTGAATTTGAACTCACACCTTCAGGGGGAGGTTTGAATCGTCAAATATATATTTCCTTGTACCTGCTGTCTGACACAACAGGTTCGCTTGTGAGCATAACACCCAGCTCCTATAGAATCATGTAGCCTGCAGTATTACAGTCACACTCCTCCTGACAGGCATTTTTTTTTTCTTCGCTCTCTCTTTTTTTTTTGCCTGAACAGCCTCAATCAGACCAGAGAGAGAGAGAGAGGGAAAAAAAAGAAGAAGCAACCTTTTTCCCTGCATGGGACAGGGTGATGTCAGGAGGATGATGCGGCACGATCCTGTGGCCCACTGCATCAAACCGGGCCGCTCCCATTGGCTGGCGGGGATGCTGGGGATGCTGCGCTCGGTGCCACGTCATCCGGCCAGCAGCAGCACGTTCATCTCTCTCGCCGGCTCCCGAAGCTCGGCCCCCCCCCTCCTAGAAATGAGGCAAGTGCTGATTTTGAGAAACACAGCGGCAAGAGACTGAAGAGTGGACGCCGGACAAGTCGAGAAAAGGACCGCGCTCTGCCCGCATCCGCAGCTCACCATGAGGGAGATCGTTCACATCCAGGCCGGACAGTGTGGGAATCAGATTGGGGCGAAGGTAGCATCTAAATATTACCATTTAATTTATTTTAAAAAAGGGGGCAAATTAATAGAATTATTTTTATTTTAAATGCCACGTGTGCTATTTCTTTCAATAGATTTTGGTTTGCTCAAATCGAGGCATTTAAACTCTTAATCTGGCATCTCTTGCACAGAAAGGAATAAAAATGTATTTTTTGGAGGGAAAAGTTTAATATCAACTATTATTATCTTAAATACGTATTGGGTGTGGTTCATCCTGGTCGTGTCATTTTGCCACCAAAGCAGATGCGCCAAAAAAAAACCAAATCCTGACGCACCTGCTTTGAAAACTCGTCTTTATTCGCCAAAATGACCGCAGCTGAAGCTCATGGGAATGTGTTTGTCCAATCTTAGTTCTGGGAGGTGATAAGTGACGAACATGGCATCGATCCCACCGGCAGTTACCAAGGTGACAGTGACCTGCAGCTGGAGAGGATAAACGTCTACTACAATGAGGCATCAGGTAAATAAAAAAAACATATAAAGTTTGTTTTGCATCGTTTCCATTTTTGCTCATGCATGGCCTTCTGCTTCACAGACCTCTTTTTGAACGCCACAGTTTGCTCGTGTCACTAATTTAGCTGCTGGGGAAAGTAGGTCCCACTATGAGTGCAGGAAAAAAAAATTAGGACAGTGAACCTGCTAAAATATCTCTCTCTGTCTCCCTTTCTCTCCCCACCTCTCTCTCTCTATCTCTGTCTCTGTAGGGAGTACAGGTATCTGCAGTCTCTCTATAAAGCTGACCCCCAGCTCTGTGCCTCGGTGTCACCTCAGTGTCTGATTTTATTGCTGTGGCGTGCTGAAGGTCATTCCAAATGCATCCCGTGCTGCTGCTCACGGCCGCTGTGCATTAAGCAGTCGAGCACTGTGATAAATGAAGGTGCAGTCATCACAGAGCTTTTTGTGCTGATGCTTTCAGAGAGGGACAAGTCATCTCAAGTCATGTTTACCCAGGATTGGGATCAAACAGTGCCAGCTCATCCACTTTGGGCTCAATGAAAGGCCTGTTCAGGAAGCCCACATTGCTAATTCACTACAAATGTCTCTTTTTTCCCTAGCATCAGGCATTATTGATTTTTGCGTTTCCATGTTGCATGCTGACATCAGTGTCACCGACTGGGTCGCTACTGCATGTGGGCCGAACATTCAGATCATCAAATTCTCCTTGAAAATAAAGAGTGCAGATGGCTGACGGAGAATGAGAGGAAAAAATAATAAAGAGGCATTGCTAGGGGAAGACAGCATCTTTGTTTGAATGCACTCTGCAGAGCTCAGCAGTTCGAAAGCCCCACTGGTCTAGAATAAGCTGTGCAGCATGCTGCAGCAGTTTGCTCGCAAGAAGGGTCACCAGCAGTCAGAGAGGGTGGAGCGAGCAAAGTAGAAGAAACAAACAGTAGAATGCATTCCTTTAATACCCAGCTTGTAAAGTCTAGTTTGCTTTCAACAAAGGGCTGTTTACATAAAAGACTACATTTGCAAACAGTAGTGCTGCATCCATATTAGACCTATTATGAAGAATCTCCTCTCATTATGGACACTGAGACATCTTACTCCACCTTTCCATCTATTACTTCTCCCCACCCCTCTCTATTCTCCCGTCCAAAGGCAGCAAATTTGTCCCCCGTGCCATCCTGGTGGACCTGGAACCGGGAACCATGGATTCAGTTCGCTCCGGCCCATTTGGACAGCTGTTCAGGCCTGACAACTTTGTCTTCGGTGAGTTGACAGTAAATCAGAGTGTTGCCACTCACCCTGAACCAACTGCACATACGGCTACGTGCATGTCAGCAACTGCTGTCACATCCTGTAAAGATGTGCTTAGTTTCACCTGGGAGCGCTGCACAGCATTGTGTATTCAGAGCACAAAGCTTCTGCAGTCTCTCAGCGATGTGCCAGTGGTGTGATGTATTGCCGGTGTGTAGCTGTGTCAGACTGAGACGGCTCTTGTGGTGACTTAGCACAAAAAAACAACAAAAAAACGAATCTATTGGAGGTACTGCTGCAGTGTTGGTAACAAATGAGGATGTGTGGGTCAAAAAAAAATTGCATTGCAGGATTAATACCCAGTTCTACTTAGCTGCAAGAAATGGATGATGGGTAATAAATCTTCGACTAATGCTTTAGAGATCAGGAGAAAGATTTGGGCTGCCAGATTTTAACCAGAAAGCATCTGCATCAATGCTGGCAGCTCAGCGAAGCCGTACTGAGGCACACTGGAGCTTTTAGCTGAATGCTAATGTCAGCGTGTTAGCATGTTGATGTTTAGCAGGTGCACTGTTTCACAGTGGTCACTTTGTTGTTTAGCTTGTTAGCATTGCAACATTTCCTAATTGTCAGCAATGCAATGTTTTTGTCAGTTTTTCAAGTTCTTGTTCTTAAACCAAAGTGTTGCTCAAAATTAAATGTTATGATTGCACAGAAAGCTATCGAGGGGACATACCTCTTTGTACCAGATTTAATGCCAGTCCATTCAATTATTGATTTCATTTCACTCAAAACTACCCATTAACCTCATGGTGACACTATCAGTAAACAAAATAATCAGGATTTATCCTCTGAAAGTACGTAAAAAAAAAAGTATGGCAATCCATCCAATGGTTGTCAAATGTCACTGAAAATATCAACCTCCTCATGGTTGCAGATGGAAATTCACATGATCACCAAAGTCCTTTTGGTACACTGGGTACAAACTAAACATGCATGTTAGTGGCATCATTATTTGTTCATCATGAAGTGTCTTTAAATATTACATCACGCAGGTCAAAGCGGAGCAGGAAATAACTGGGCTAAGGGTCACTACACCGAGGGAGCTGAGCTGGTGGACTCGGTTCTGGACGTGGTGCGAAAGGAGTCCGAGAACTGCGACTGCCTCCAGGGCTTTCAGCTAACCCACTCCCTGGGTGGAGGAACCGGTTCAGGAATGGGCACGCTGCTCATCAGTAAGATCCGCGAGGAGTACCCCGATCGCATCATGAACACCTTCAGTGTCATGCCCTCCCCGAAAGTGTCCGACACCGTGGTGGAACCCTACAACGCCACCCTCTCTGTCCACCAGCTTGTGGAAAATACAGATGAGACCTTCAGCATTGACAATGAGGCCCTGTACGACATCTGCTTCCGCACCTTGAAGCTGACCACACCAACATATGGAGACCTCAACCACCTGGTGTCAGCCACCATGAGCGGGGTGACCACCTGCCTCAGATTCCCCGGCCAGCTCAACGCTGACCTTCGTAAGCTGGCCGTCAACATGGTGCCCTTCCCACGCTTGCATTTCTTCATGCCCGGCTTTGCGCCTCTCACAAGCAGGGGTAGTCAGCAGTATCGTGCCCTCTCCGTGCCGGAGCTCACACAGCAAATGTTTGACGCCAAGAACATGATGGCGGCGTGCGACCCCCGTCACGGACGGTACCTCACGGTGGCGGCCATCTTCCGCGGCCGCATGTCGATGAAGGAGGTGGACGAGCAGATGTTGAGCGTGCAGAACAAGAACAGCAGCTACTTCGTGGAATGGATTCCTAACAATGTCAAGACCGCAGTTTGCGACATACCTCCCCGCGGCCTCAAGATGTCCGCCACCTTCATCGGCAACAGCACCGCCATCCAGGAGCTGTTCAGGAGGATCTCCGAACAGTTCACCGCCATGTTCCGACGCAAGGCCTTCCTCCACTGGTACACTGGGGAGGGAATGGATGAGATGGAGTTCACCGAGGCCGAGAGCAACATGAATGACCTGGTGTCTGAGTATCAGCAGTACCAGGACGCCACCGCCGATGAAATGGGCGAATATGAGGAAGACGAAATGGAGGACGAGGAAGAAGTCCGCCACGATGTTCGCCACTGATTGTAAAACACTGATATGACATTGAACCAAACCAATAACAACAACTGTCGGACGAGTGCAGCGAGATCACAAGAAGTACGCTAGAGACGCAGATGTTCAACTAAATATTGCAGTGTGTGCAGATCACGATGAAATATAGTTGTTTAGCCAAACTTACGCTGCACATGGCTTCTGCCGACAAAGGTCACGAGTGGCGTTAGAACCTAAAAAATATGCAAGTACTGTAGTATTTGGTTTTCCCAAGTCATGCTTTGCCAGTGTCAATAAAACAAGTGCAGTCTCGTCCCCAATGCAGTTTTGTAACATTTACTTCAACACGCACCCATTGTCACAAGTCTCAAATAAAAGAGTCAATCCATGCCTCGTGTTGTGTCGTTTTTATACTTGAACAGCATAAAAAGGCGCACGAGGCCGACAGTTATTATTGGTTTGTCACAACATACAGTAAGTTAAGACTGGGCGATACGGTGAAGTCTTAGTCTTATGTCAACAAAAACTTCTCCATTTCCATATCACTTAGTGATACCTTTGTTGGGCCTTATCTTATTTGGTGTGCTGCCATTATGTAAGTGTGTTTGACTAACAAAGCTCCTAAATCCAGGTGTCTCGACGAAATGCTGACAGCTTCTGTTACCGTCGTGACTCCAGGCGGTTTGAGAGAGAAAGTACATATCTTGATTTTGTGATCTATGCATTCATCCAGTTAACTTTAATTCCATTTAATAGATTGTCCAGCCCTGTTTCATGCCCTAAACTTGTTATGCATGATGTGTTTTCTGTAAGACTATGTTGGATACAGTATGCATGAAACGTCCTTTGGTTATTGTTGTCAAATGACATGAAAGACCAAAATCCACAAAGATCCGCTCTATTAAATGTTGTTTGTGTAGCTAAAGCTTGATATCGCTTACGATTAGTGCCTATTAGAGCTCAGTTTCTGTCCAAAAACCACTGATAAACCACACGACTGCACTGGGTGACACACTCCATAAATACAATAAGCAGGACGATGAAGTTTTAAGTCCCAATAAATGTGGTCAAAACTCACAAGCAGCTACAACCGAGTAGGTTTTATGCCCAGGAACTGATATTTTTGAAGCTGTAAGGTAAGAATTCCAGGAAGTACAAACTGACACACAGATTAATCTACGCACACCTTTGTAATATAAAGTTGAGAAAGTGAAGCAACAAGAGGACACACTCGACTGAAGACATTCTTTTATGGTTTGAGTTTCGTATGCAAATGGTGACAGCGGTTGTGACATCTTGATCTATTGCATTATTTTGCAAGTAGGTATCAGATCGAGGCACATCCAAACAACAAGGGAGGATCCCAGCAACAGCGAACAAACACATCTGTAGAAAACATCCTGAGAAAGCGGTGGGGGAATTTGAAAACGCCCTCTGATGGCTGATAATCTGAGAATCTAGTATTTGTGATGTGACAACAGTGACATGACGGTTGGGCCACCTGACAACAAGCTTGTCCCGTTGCCATGTAGACAGATAGACCAGGAACTGCCTGTTTAAGAACTTTTTAGTGGTTGCAAGCCTGAAATGTGCTTCACTTTCGGGCCACACCCGAGTCATGGCTGTGAAAGCATGAATTTTCCATTTGACAACTGATGGGAAACACGTGTTTTGACATGAAGGATGGCCAGAAAAGGAGATTTAAGGGGAAAAAAAGGAAAAGAAAAGCAGAAAGAAAAGTGGAGCAGCATTTTTTTTGTCTCTCCCAAGGGCGAAAATACTCTTTTTTTGGTAGTAAATTAGAAATCAATCATGCCATTACCCTTCTCCTCGTCTTCTGAAGTAATGAGGCCCGAAAGAGAATGAGAGTTACAGGTCTGATCCATTGCAAGCTAAAAGCTGGATCCCCCCCCAATGAGGCCAGAGTCTTATGAATTCCAGGTCAGAAGTTGACCCACTTTTCTCCCGGATGTCACAGCTGAGGCATAGTTCATTAACAAAACCGCTCAGAGCAGTTTTAGATGCCATGTCTGCTGAAAGCTTTGTCTGGAAAAAAAAGAGAAGCAACAGTTCACAAAGACATCTGGAGGACACTCCTGTTTTGGCCCGACGCGCACCATTAAAATACACCGATAAAATAACAACGCTCTCATGTGATAGTAAAGAATGAGAGCAATAAATCTAATCAGTCAAATAAGATATCAAGAGCATAGTGTGGTAGGGAAATCAATTAACTGCCAAGCAAACATTTAACCCCGTAAAGCCTGAACCATGAAATAATTGACAGGAAATTCTGTTTTTTTGAAACTGGAGTATTTATTCTAACAAACAATAATTTTAAAAAAATTAAATATCAATTTGCATATGTGAGTTTTTCTACAGCCGGCATTTTTGGTGCGTGAGTTACAATCTGTGGTGGATTATCCGTCTGCCGCGCAAGTCTGAATGTATACATCAGGTTTTTAATGGAAAAAAAAATCATACTGTTGACGTAGAGGTCTCAAAACTCCCGTATCATATATGATACATTTGGTGTTGAAGGGTTAAACTGTTAAACTGAACAAGTTTAACTTTGTAGTAACCATAGAGTGGATTTATTTCTGAGATATATGTAAAAACAGCAACAACAAACATCTCTTGCTTTTGCTTTATCTGTCCAAACTTACATAACATGACAGCAAGAAGACAAACTATGTGCTCTTCCACCTTCTCTGGTGAAACTCCGTGCAGGTAAGGACACATTCCCTTTTTGCATACCACACATCAACGCACCGAATCCATAAGCCCGTCTGTTGACCACTCGTCTGACATACGAGATGAGTCAAACGTACACAAAGTCAGTGAAACGTGGTGAAAGACGAGGAGCGAGCTCTTATCCTGCCACGTCTCGTTTGAAACCGCTGCATGACCAATGACGGAAACCTGATTTTCTACTTTCTCCCTTTTGTTTCTGCGAGGCAAGGCTAAGCCTTTTCTTGGTCCACTACAAAGAAACCAGTTGTGTCCGTTCCACACAGGTATGATACTGTGTACTTAGAGGAGCTGGGAGCTAAACCCGACACTTCGACCTCACTGAAAGAAGCATGCTTTAACTCACATGCTGGTGGTTTGCAGGTAAAGATGTTTTTAAACTGGGAAACTCATGCAGTGAAATAGGTGTGTGCATTTTACAGTTCATTGCCAATGCATATTTTAAAACCCAGTATTTGGAAGCACTATGCAAATTAATTAAGCCACTTAGAAAGATGTTTGTTATCCTTAAACCTGTGGTACTGTGAAATGACTGGGTGGGGCTCTAAAAAAGTGTTTTTTTTCTGTTGTATTCTTTTTAATATTATCTTTTTTTGTTATTTTCAGGTAATTATTAAGTGATATTGAAATAAAGCTTATATATCTGCAATTATATGTGTGTTAAAATTGTTAAATATTGTGTGAAATCAGGAAAAAAAAACAAGCCAGACATTTTCTTTCTGTTTGATTTTATTTTCGTAGCTGGTGCAAAACTTGAAAAATAAATTCATGATGCTTTAGTACAGCGCTGCTAAATTCTTCCAACATATTAGAAACTAGAAAAAAAAATTAAATCAAAATTATCAACAGCAAAAACAGCAGTATCAAACAGTGTCACTCCACCAAATGTTTTCAGTGCTTGGGAAGCTCATACTTGGTTATTTTTGCTCGTCCAAAAACCCAAATTATGTTACCGTCACACACACACAAACACACACACACATTTATATATAAAGAGACACCAACAATAACTAACTATCTGGCAATTATGCAGCAAAATACACCTGTAAAAAAAACAAAAAAAACAGGACCACCATAGTTTTGTACAGCTTTGGCACTTTTAGAATTAATACTTTGTTTATGGTACAATTTTAGAAATACACAAATATTCTGTAGAAATATTAAAATGAGTGCAACTATAGATAACTTTAAAAAAAAAAACAAGAACTATCTAATCCCTTCTTGGTGCATTCATTCGAACGCTTTGGTTCTTCTGCGGAGTGAGTGTTTTTTTCAACAGGTTCAAAGTAAACAGCATTAATCTACATTCTGCAGCAGTTTCTGATTAGTTACAGTAAAAAAAAAATGACTTCAACAGTTGTAAAAACTAAAGCTTAGATTTTTTTTTTTTTACAAAATGCAAACCGAGTGTCTTTGGGATCACACTAAAATATTACAGTACAAAATCTAGTGTTTGGACGCCTGTGTGGAAGATTGCACCGGAGTAGTTTCAGGTAGAGCTTCTACCTTTTGCCTTCATCACTGTCAAAAGAACTGAGTGCTTCTCAAGATTGATAATTATAGTTATTGATGTACATAAAGCTACCCTGCATGGTCACTAACTGAGATTTGTAGCGGTCACATAGTGGTCAGGTGGTTCACACAAACAACTTTACGAATCCAATTTTTACTTTGCATGTCCACATTCGGTACAGTTACTCATCAGCTCCATCACTAGTTTACAGACATGTTCAAACCCGACTGCTGAGTGTCGTCCTCCTCCTGTTCTTTTTGGCTGCTTTGTGGACGCTTCTGATAACTTTGTTTATGGGACTTTAATTAGATGGTGTGTTTGATTGTACAGGTTGTTTCTCCCAAACACATCCATCAGGGGTAAAAGGCGAGATACAACCACAGCAGCGGCTCCTGTCTTCTTTTATTGCTGCCCTCGGAGAAGGTGCAGCCTTTATTGTTTGTTCTGTGCGTCTTCCAGCGTCTCTGTAGTGAGGGGGTAAAGTCAGAGATAGGCATCTGATGCGCATCAGGTTTGACTGTTTTAACTTGGTTCTGTTTATCTTAGATAATTACTCCCCCCCTGGAGCCATGCTACTTTAGTACCTAAAAGAAATGCAGTACTTTTTATAGCTCAGATGGTTATTCCTTGGATCAGAACTGTAGGGATTTTTATTTATTTTTAGTTAGACTTCCCCTCAGCTGGAGCACAATGACAGAAATCATACAAAGCTTTTATAAGAAGTATTAATCCCATTGACATGCTTAACACCAATACTGTGTTGTATACTGATGCTGAGGAGCCTCCTTTTAACAGGTAGCACACAAGAAACTTTTTGGTATTAATGCCAGTCAATGCTCGCTCTGAATCTGAATTGAAATCCAAAGCGGTTCATGACTCTGCTGCACATGTAGTCAAAACAGCGTGTTAACTACCATGAGCAGCAGATGAGGACACACAGTATTGCACTTAAGGTCAAACAGACTAAACTCTATTAGTGTTACCACAATTTAAAAATCTATCCGTCTGTATGAAAAGATGTATGTTTATATACTGCAGTACATTTCAATCTACAATCAACAGAAATATATGTCGAAACAAGTGGAGCGTCTGTGGATAGGCTGAACAGAAGTGGTGCTTTATGCTCTTGTGCTGGAATCCACATTTCTCTCTGTCACTGACACTTTCTTATGTTGCACAACCACCCTCTGGCTGCCATGCAACCTGGGTGTGGCTGTCAGAAGAAGATCCTCATGTGACCCTGCAGAGCTGCGTGAACTCTGTGAAAAGCTCTGAGTTTTCACCTGCAAACCTTGACCTCTGAGCTCATAGCCCTGCTCTGTGGAGCTCTGTCCTGTCTGAATGATGCCCTGTGCTAAGTCTGCCTCGTGCTCTGCTCCAGCAGTGGATCTATTCTCCACCACCAACACTTGTCTGGACCTGGAGAGGGTTCCCTTTGTCAGGCCCTGTGCTCCCTGACCTGCTGCTCCACCCACTCCTACCTGCCTATCAACAAGTACGACACCCTGGGAACCTTGGAGACCCCCAACTTGCACCAGCCCGTGACTCATCCCGACTTGGGCTACTGGAGCCACCGCCTGCTGGGCGCCCCCCGCCACAAGCATCACTTGGGGCTTGGACTCAACCACATACATGGGCGTGGTAGCATAGTACATTGCAGGCTGCTGCACGAGCAGCGTCTGGCTGGGAATCACCACATTGTCCTGGATATGCACCCTGGGAATAGTTGCCGAGCCCTGGGCTCTCTCAGTGGTTCGCTCCTCACGGATGATGGTGGAGGATCCTGAAGCCACATTGGAGGTGTTGGAGGTGTTGACGGTGTTGATGTGGTCCCTGTCCCTGATGGTTTCGCTGTGAGTGTGGACATGTGTGTGGGTCGAGGTGGAGGGCCTGAAGGGAGACACCGGTCTGACCGGGGGGATAGAAACTCTTGCATCCACTGACTCGCTCACCAGGGTCGATCCCTGACAAATCGAAGCCAGGGTTTTGAATTTAGGCCCCAGGTCATTGAGGAATGACAGATCGTCATCGTTTTCAAGAAGGCTGCAGCAGCCTACCGAACCTGCCGGGGACTCTTGACCCTCATAGTCATAGATCAGGAGAGCATCCTTCTCGTAGGACTGCTGAGCAGCATGGTTGGATTTCTGCAAACAAGTAAAAACAGAATAAACAGTATGTTTGGGACTTTAGTGACTCTGACATTTCAGGTGAGGCAGTATAACACAGCTTCTCCTTAACCTTACATACTGTAACATGACAACTGACTGGAATACATAATAATATATATATAACTCAAATTACAGTTTCTCTCCTACTGTGATGAATAATAGAACTGCACTGGAATAGACCGAAGAGTTCAAAGATACTTACACTTGAAAAGTAGTCCTCCAGGAAGTGATCGGACAGAGCCATCCCATTGAAGACCGCACCTCTGTACTGGGAGAGACTCAGGTCGTGTCCGGTCATCATCCCTCCGCCCATGTGGTCCACCTCCTCATGCCCACTGAAGTGCCTGTACCGGCTGTACCTGTTCACATTCTCCACATTCAGAGTGGATGTGTTTACAGTGTAGCCCAAGGTTGCTCCTCCACCTGCTGCTCCTGCACCTGCCATGCCTCCTAAATCGGGCCCTCCTCCAGGCTGCCCCCTTCCCCCAAAGGTGTTGACGTCTCTGGCATTCATTGTGCCAACATCAACCTCTGCTGGCATATGTATCAGAGGGATATCCTGTAAAAAAAGAAAAAGAACATCCAGAGATCCAGAGGTTTTGGTCAAACTTTGATTTTTACAGTGTTTAAGTTCTACTTCTATCAAGACTACACTGATCAAAGTACCTTGTCTTCCCCCTGTCCCTCGGTGTGGTATGAGATCAGGTGTTGTTTCGTCTCAAACGGAATAGCCTTGAAATCCCCGACAGCTGCAGGACCTCCGCAGAGGCAGAAGAGCAGCAGAAGGGGCAGCACTGAAAAACACATTGAACGCGACATCAAAAGACGAACCTCAAACGAAATCCAGGCATCAATCAGTGCATTACTTTTCATTCACCAAGAGGATTAAACTCAAAACAAAACTAATTTTGCAAGTGGATCTAACTCTTTTAAAAAACGGCCGGTGGTCGAAACCATTTGTTTTAATCAGTCTCTCTAAACAGGCTACAACACGCTGGGTGAACATGAATGACTCCTGTCCAAACAACCAACCAGAGAGAGTAAAGAAGCGACCGGCGGCTCTACTCACACAGCAGCAGCAGCAGCCCCAGCAGCAGGAGCAGGATACCGGCGGCTCCGAACTTAGCCGTCGATCGACTTCGGACGTTCTGGCAGGTTTTAGTGTTTTTCTGGCAAGTGCACACGGTTATGTCAATTATCTGTGCCTCATCACAGAGCTTTCCTTGCTGGTCTCTGATCTCCACTTCCACTTTGTAGGTGCCTGGCCACAGGTTGGTTTGTTCTCGCAGGATGGCTGTGGTTTCTGAACAAAGACAAGGCCTACATTTAATACTTTGCGGCTTTGAAAAGAATGTGCGATGAAGCCTCTTGTCTTTGCTCGTACACAATACAGTAGAGGTTTCCCACGACAGACATTTACTTGGCATGGCAGGAGAAAAAAAATTAAGGGCGTCATTGACTTTGACTGACAAAGTGCAATTATTGTATCAGCAGAACACCCCTGGCTAAGTGTTTCGGAGCTTCAAATCTTGAGTAATTGCCCTCAAGCTTAACGATGTAACTTGTTCCTGGTATTCTTACAAATGTGCACCAATTAAAAGAACAACACAGCTGAGACACACTGATATCATCGCAGTCTGGTGCAAAGGGTGGAGTTAAAAGCTAGCGTTGGTCTTACCGTTGAGATGCTCCACTGTCCACGTCCCCTGGCTGTTCTTTTGATTCACGACGAAGTCAAACGGTGCCGAATTGGGGAACTCGTCCTCATCAACAGCGGTGGCGTAGATCACGCTGTCCTCGAGGCACACAGTCTGAGTCTTAGTGATCAGTCTGGGACAGTCGTCGTTGAAGTCCTCCACCTGAATGGCTATGGTGCCTGTCGCGGTTTTTAAGGGCACATCTGAAAGCCAAACACAAGAGAGAGAGATATCATTAATGCATAACATCAGCTCACAACAGAAGGGCGATGCCCTCCGTGTTCGCAGGACGTACCTTTGGTGATGCAGATGACTTCGGCGTAGTATGTTCCATTTTTCAAGAACTTGGACTCTCGGTCAGGGAATTTGTTCAGCTTGATATCGCCGGTCTTTTCATCAATAATCAACCAGTTGTCGATGTCACGGTTTTTCTGGTACCTAAAAATCATATAAAATTGATTGATTCCTGTATTCGTCTACTGTTTAGTGACACCATTAACCCTGCTGTAAGTGACTTTACCTCACGTTGGTGGCGATCTTGAGCGTGTCGCTATCGATAGCAGCGTAGTTGGCGATGACTTGTCCGATGGAGATGGACGTGCGGTCCTCAGAAACAGCCACCACTTTTGTGGTTGGTGCGAAACGGGGGCCTTCCTTCTGATTGACCACGTTAATCTTGATGGGGTAGGATTTATTTGGTATGGGTCGAATAACCCCGCTGCCAAAGTTGTATTCTGCTTTGTTGGCGACCGCTATTCCCAAGTTGAGCACCTTCAGTTCCTCATAGTCCAGGGCCTGCAGATTCATGAAGCGTACACAACGTAGATAAGCTTTTGCACCAATGTTCGTACGGATTTTTCAATTCAGAATAAAGCGACATTCCTTTACCTTGTTAATCATGATAATTCCCTCGTTGGTCTTAGCATCGGTTTTGATACTGAAATAGCCTCCCTCATTCCCGGAAACGATTTTATACGCAGCCAGCCAGTTTTCGGTGTGAATCAGATCCAAGTCGATGGCTTTAATCCTCATAACTTCCACATTGACGGTGTTCTCCTCTATGCTCCCCTCGTACTGCAAATGAAATACACATTAACGGTTGAGCTGTCAGACATTATTAACAAACATCTACGAAAGACTAAAGTAAAGGCTTGGTGCAGTAAATGTGCAACGCTTACCGATTCTTGTTCCAGGGTAGGAATGTTGTCGTTTATGTCCAGAATTTTGATCTCGATTTCTCCACTTCCTACGTGTCCTCCTGGTAGTCCATTCATGTCGAGAGCTTCAACAACCAACTTGTATGAGGATTGTAACTAAAAAAAAAAAAGGTCACAGGCACTTAAACCTTCTGCTAGCATGAGTTCAACTTTGTCAAAATTGTTTCAAGTTATAAAAAAAAAAAAAGAAGATAGAAATATGAAATTCTTCTTTTTAAATGCGATGAGTAACCGTGAATTATGTTCAGGGTGGAAACCAGAACATGCTGGTGTGGCGTGGTGACGCAAACTTGACTAATCCATACGAGTACAGGTCATACATGCACCTTCCCTTACTGACCCAAATAACACGTATGTGAGGCGATAATGGCGTTTGGCTCATGAGCTCCGAGTTGCGAGCTTTTTAAGACATGGGACGAACCGCGAGCTACTTAAGAGGTCAGCCAAAGCGACTCACCTCCCTGTCGAGAGACACCTTTTGAACTATGACCTCTCCGGTCTGGCAGTTTATGAAGAATATCCCATCTGGGTTGCTCTCCTCCCTAATGCGGTAGAAGATCTGGGAGTTGATGGTGCCCTCTTGATCGGCATCGGTAGCGGTCACTTGCATGACGGTTGTACCTGGAAATAATCAAAAATGAAGTTAGAAAGCTTCTATCTTCTTAAATCACAAACACACTCCAGAGCTTTACATACCTGCTGCGCTGCATTCTGCGACTTGTCCGACTTGCTGCGCCACAATGACCGGTGGGTTGTCGTTCTCGTCCAAGACGGTGATTTTGAGCTCAATATCGTTTTCGGCTCTCGAGCCGTCGTGGTAGTTTGCTCTTCCTATCAACTGGAAAACAAAATGCATATAAGCATTACTTTACTCGTCAACTTATGACTTCAATCAAACAGGACTTAAAAGTGTTCTTACAGTGTAGAAGGGGATCTTCTCTCGGTCCAGAATGGTGAGGACTTTCACGTAACCAGTGTGGGGATCGACACGGAACTGACCAACAGGCGGTTGGTCGACACCGGGGCCCGACAGGGAGTATATGATCCGCGTGAAGTTCTCCTTGTCTGAGCGAATCTGAAATGCAAACGCATGATCTCAAGATGGAAATTTGACATTGAAAGAACAATGAAGAGTTCAGATAATTCCATTTTTTTGTTGTTTGCTTGAGATAATATCAATCAAACTAAAGCTGAGTGGATTTGACTCAGTGGAAATAACAAAAATAGAGATAAGTCTGATATTATCTCAGGTAGATGATGGGAAAGCGGGTTTTCTGAAGGTTTGTGAACATTATCTGTTCTTGCAAATGAACTCTTCACATGTAAAGATTTAAATTAACACACAGTCTGACGAGAACCGCCGCACATTAACTGCTGATGTGGCTGGGACAATAAAAGTGAACGCATCATTTAGTTGAAATATCAGGTGCGTTTTGGAGGATCACATGGAGGTGTTAGTGACTAAACATTGCAACAAAGAAAGTTTTATCATCGCGTAATGTCTCATGAACTGAGTCATTACGAATATGGAAGATTGCCAAAGTGTCTGGTGTGGCTGTCGCACGTACTTTGGCTGGCTTTTTTTTTTTTTTTCTGAGTCTGAGGAAGAACTCAGTGAGGTGGAAAATTATGAAGATATGTTAAAAAGATAAGTCAGTTGTAATGGAGTCAATCATCAAGAAATAGCACACATAAGTACTCACTCTGGCGATAAAGGCCAGGCCGGAGTAGTCATGGTTCTCCTTCAGCTGCCTGGGAGCTATGATCCACTCTCTCTTCTGCCTCTGGAGCTCTCCTTCTGCCCCCACAGGAAGCAGCTGCAGGTAAAAGGGGCAAAAAGTTCATTATTAAACATGTGTGATGATTACAAAAAGAAAAACAGTGGCAGGACATTTACAGCAGGAGATGTTCTTTAAGAAGTAAGTTAACAAACAAAACAGCAAATGGCTCATTTAATTGTCAACATTATGGGCTGGCAGACACACAAACTGTCAGCTTGTGTTTCAGGTTGCATCTGAAGGACACCACTTGGATCCATTTGACTGTCAAATACATGCATCCATGACACGAGCTGCTTGATGAACTATTTGTCAAGCTCAGCTCACAACTTAGAGACCCTTAAATGTGTCCTCTGATTCACTATTTGTCTTGAAATCAAAAGAGGAACTAAAGAAATGAGACGCTCACAGTAAGCGAAGCGTTGCGTAAACATGGAGAGTGCGCATTTTTCTTTTTTACTTTCGCTGCAACATTCCCGAAAGGTTTTTTTTAAAACAAAGACAGCCATTCCATCGGCTGGATTACAGATACCAGCTTCAGCCACCGTGGAGCCACACCTGTTACAGATCCGCTACAATACACAAAAGAGCAGAAAATGGCACATAAGAACCGCGTACTTACAGTCGGAAGAGACGCCAGCAGGATCAGAAAGACGCATTTCAGCAGAGGAGCCATCCGCTTGGAAAGTTGGAAAAAAGAAAAAAGAAAAAACTTTCTAAATCCTCCGGGTTGATGTGAAATCGCCTCCGTTTTGAATTTATCTGCAGCCTATTGTTGGTTTCGTCCAGACTTTGACCCTTTGGAAGGGTAGAAGGAAGGTTTTACAGCGATGGGCGGTCCCTCCCCTAAGCTTGATAAGCTATTTCTGATAACAGGCGGAGAGAAGAAGAAGCGGTTGCCATGTCCACTTTTGTTGCTCAGCGGTAATATTTGGGCGCAGCCTATTGTTTCTGAGCAAATCCAGGTAGATTCAAGTCAGAGGAATTCCAGATTGAGCTGTGAGATGAGTCCCAAACCGGACAGACAGCTGCTTTATCTAAACAAAATGATGCTTTTCTTATTTTATTTTATTTTATTTTAGGATGAAACCATAAATCATTATCATCTTTGCAGAACGTGGTTAAATCTAGATTTTTATTCATGATATTCACTTAATAATCTATTGGAGTCCAAATGCTTTCCCCACTTGTATGTAAAACTTTACCACTGCGTGTGAAATTCCCCAAGAAGGACACCACAAGCTGTGTGTTTGCTGCACACTGGGCTGTTTGTGTGTCTGTAGGTGTGTCTGCTTTACAGGGAAATTCTGATAAAAAAAGAAGACATGCACGTTGGCAGAATGAGAGTTTTCGTTGCCAAGATACATGAAACTTTTACTCTCAGTGGTCAAAGGTGTGTGGCAGAGAGAGAGAGAGCAAACATGATGTCAGCGTTATCTCCTCTGACTGGGCGTTTCAGGTTTCAAAGGAATTAGAAGGCATTTGTCCGACTGTAATCACGCATTTCTGCAACCTTTGTGTCATTTGCTTTTACTCATCCAGGGTGGTTGCGTTGAGGCAGCAGTCCGTTGGCTTAGTCAGCATCCAAAAGCGCAGGTAGCATTAAGGCCAGTGAGTGGTTTCGGTGTCGCCGGGTGATGCACGGTGAAGACATGGTGAATGAATGAGCTGGATTAGGCTGAAGCTGGCAACTTTCTATAAACACTGAACACAATTGAAAATGGTAGTTAAAAAAAAATGTCAACTATGAGGGTTGGTTGTGCAAATTTCCTCTCAAGTGCAGCAGAGTGGGTTTGTGTGAAGAAGGAAAAGCAATCATGTTGTCTGAGCTGGGTGTGTCACATGTTTGTCCAGTTTGAGTGACCAAACAACCCCTGGAGGATAATGGAGGAGTCCTGAGAGGCATGGACTGTGACAGCATTGCATCAGAAATCTAGTTTGGTGAATGTGCAAGCTCGGGCACATGTGAGGTGTTAATCGGAGCTTTATCACCTGCATTAGTTACAATCACTTAATGTATCCATGTAAACAGTGCAGTGTGAGTGGAAACAAGCGACTGTTCTGGGGAACTGAGTTATTAGTCACTGCGATATGTCACACGTCACTTACTGTATGACAAAATCTAGTGATCAAACAGTTGTTTTAAAAAGCACCCCACTCTCAGTGAGTCACCTGAACACCGGCGCTCACATGACGTGAATACCTTCTGGTTTGGCGCTCATCCAAAGGGCGTTGGGCCGGGTAGCTGCGTTCGAGGTGCACCCTGAAAGTTTCTTACCTCAGGGATATGTGTGTCAGTGCCATAAACTTTCGTGTCTTCTAATGATGTGGTTTCTGAAAGCATTGCGTATCAGCCCTCTGGCGTTTTTGCCTCAACGTGACGGTACAGTTTGTTGTCTGCACACCCAGTACGATATGCAAAAAGAAAAAAGAATCACAACAATTAGTGAACAGGTTTGTTCAAACTACCAAGAAGAACAAGACAGCGCAATCTAGTACAGGATGAACTGTCACATTTCACTTCTTTGTCAGCCAGCGTGGCTCAAGAGTCTTTCACAAAACGTGCATCACTGTTTAGCAGAAATATGGGGATTTACATTTACCAAAACAGGCCTGTTCTGACTAACATTTCATCACGGCACACCGCAGTGACTGGAGCATGGGAGGGAGAGGTCAGACGGAGCGTCACCAATAGGATCACCAGAAACATAATGGCTTTCTTGTACACAAACATTCCCGCGCTGTTTACTCTGCACACACACTTAAGCCCGAGAATGATAATTAACTTTCATTTCAGTTCGCACACAAGATGTTTTTTTTTTTTTTGCGGAGACTGTTTTGCATTTGCAGCTAAAGACTCCCAGATTCAAAACCCTTTCATTATGTCCACGCCCATGACTCACAGCAGCAGCAGCAGCAGCAGCAGCACTGTCTTCCTGACATTTTTCTCACCTTTCCTGTTGCAACCCCTCACAGCACTACATCCTGCTGAACAATGTCTGCCCCTCACAGTGATTCCAAAACAGGGTCGCGCTTTAAGCAACACAAGGCCGCGGCCGTTCTCTGGCTCTGAGCGCTCTCACTTTTTTTTTTTATTATCAGTAGTTGTTAGAGATAGCGAGCGCTTGGCTATGTGAGATCTCTGCCTCCCCCAACAACCAGGCTTCATTCAGCTCACATTCCTGTGGCGCAGAGTGAGGAGAATCCAGAAATGCTTGAGCAGAGCTGAAGAGGGGAGAGGAGGAGCGAGCAGGAGGTCAACGCTCGGGCTGACCTGGGAGAGGTCTTGGAAAAATAAAAAGGTTTTTGATGCAAAGTTCTCTAAATAACCAGGACAGACAGAGAGAGAGAGAAACCCAACAGATGTTACTCTTGCACCATGAGGGCCAAACATTAAAAAAAAGGATCAAAATGCAGAATGGATAAAATAAAATATAGAAAAATGAGCCTATGTGCACTGTACAATATAGTGATTGAGGTGATAGTAGTGCAACAACCTCTTATCTATTCTCTTATTTATTTTCACTCACTGCACGACCGCAACAGCATTTATGACTTATTTTGATTTATGTCAGGTATTTTAAGTGTTTTTTTTTTCAATTGCCAACCCTGAATTTCTTTCTGCAGGGCATCCTTGATGTAATTTACATGAATGCCAACAAAGTAGTCTGATTACAGCTGTCCTCCAATGTATTCATACCCTTCTATTAAAGAAAAGGCAAAATTCACAATAGTTACTCAAATAACTAGAAACTGAAAAAAGTAATAATAAATAAAAATTTGCTAAATTATAATTTAGTGAATTGAGGCATTGCTTTTGAATTGTGGTTGAAAAGAGTAATTTTAAAAAAACAAAACTGTCCTGGAAAAATTAGAGCACTTTGCTGATAAGCAGTGGGCCAAAATCAAACAAAATATTAGTTTACGTGTCCCATCATGCGTGTTTATTTTTCATTTTGCAATATTTCTGTTGAACCACAATTCAAAAGCAATGTCGTGATTTTGCTTACATTTTTATTTATTATTACTTTTGTCAATTTCATCTTATTTCAGCTGTTTTTTTTCCCTTCTTTAATGGGAGGATATGAGTAAATCTGTAGGTTGATTTTTTATATATTTTAAACACAATTGATGGTTCCAAAGAATAAAACGCATACTTATGAAACATTTGCATTCATATTCTATGGAGTGTGTTTTATTGCTTTTAAATGCATTTGTATGTCTTTTTTTTCCATAGGGGGGCTTTCTTTTGTTGCCTTGCAGCATTTTTATTATGACCCAAGCTGGCAGATTTATGCATTGTCTTCCCTCTGCTGGCAGAAAATAAAAAAAACCTGTGAGTGCCAACTTTGAGGAGTTGCTCAGACGCATACCGACAGCGCACCGGGTGCAGCCCAAAAGGTGATCTGCAGGCTGATCCCCGCTGGGAGGCTCTGGCTGGGTGTGTCGGGCCCGAGGTGTGTCCGCTGACTCACAGCCAGCAGGCGACAGACCCGGCAGCTCACATTAACGTCGGCAGTCAGAGCACCGGCGGAGGCGCAGACACACATCAAGCTTTCACTCTCACAAACCACCAACTTTTTTTTTTATTCTTCCTTTTTTTTTTCTTCGGGAACCAAGAAGAAGTGCGTCAAAGGGGAAAGAAAGTGGGAACAAACTAAAAAATAAAAAATGGCGAATGTTTTTATTTTTAACATCTGCCTATTGTTGGTAAGTGATTGGAGTTTTGTTTTTTAACTATTGTCTTTTAGGAGAAAAAAAAAGTGAAGCTAGCTCGTAACGTTGATAAGTGTACGTGAACGCATCATTTACAGACTTATTAATTTTTAAACGTAGTCGCGATAATTACGCTTCTAGCTTTTGTTTTATATGTATTAAAGAGACTTTTTCCCCCGTTTGAAGCTCACTGTAAAGCTCCTGTGTGTGTCCGGTAGGTCGTGTCCGGTGTGGAGTCGTGCTACGTGCCGAGCTCCCTTCACGTCCTGGTGCCCAGAACCGTCCGGCGCGGACACGAGATCTCCAAAGGTGCTTCTTTTATTACCTGTGTCATTAACCCCCACACACGAAATGTATGCTTTGAATTATCTCCCCCCTCCTCGACTCCACCTACTCTCTGTCTTAACTTTTAAAACATTTTTTTTTCGGTTTCTCCCAGTTGACGTCTCCGACTGCGCCGAATTTATCACCAGCGATCCGGACTTCACGGTAACGGCTCACGGGGAGATCAAAGCCGCGGCTCAGGTAGCGGTGACGGCAGCGGGGCTCACATTTTCTGTGTGGGCTCGGGAGAGAAATGGGTCGACGAGTGAGATGAAGGTCCACCTTGTGCTGGACACCCTGGAGGAGAGCCATGTAAGACGTCTCAAATGTTCTTTTTATGTTTAACCAACAAACTACAGGGAGTCAGAGGAGCTAGCTTGTCCTCTACAATGGTTGCTAGCATAAACACAAGTATTAAAAGTTGACCACTCGTAAACATGAAGTTGTTCCAGCTAAGATTCACACATTATTTTAACTAAATAGTTAAGTTTAATGTGCTCAAGTGCTATATGGGCTAGTTTGGTGCAATGCTAGCAGGGGTCAGCTCGTCTTTTTTTTCACTTGTATGCTAAACTGAAAAGCAGGAATGTGGCTAGCATTAGCCCAACACGTTCCATTAGCAGGTGTAGCCTAGCATGAGTTCACATTTGGTCTTATAGCAATTAAGAATCCTCCCAAATTGCCTGCTTTACAAGAATGTATTTGTAAAAGAAATAACACTCACCTGTATGTCCTGTTTGGTAAACCTCGAGGCCCTCTGGCACATTTTTATTAAGTTATCCCAACTTAAATTTTGTTTTAACATCAACCAACACAGAATTTTGAGTTTTGCACAATGTTTAGTTGATGCAGTCATTGTTCAGCCCATTGAATTATTATTTTTTAGAGGTTTATCGATATCATTAAATCAGAATGTTATCTGCCTCAGTTGAGTGCTAGGAATAGGCTCTTTGGATGACTTTCACAGTGTACTATAACGTGTTGACAGGTCAACATGGTGGTTAATGTGGTTTTTAAAGTGTTCTGATTTGTCTGCATGTCACCAAAGACTGGCCAAGGCTACCTGAAGCGCTCCAAAAGGCGCTGGAGTCCTCCACCCTTCAATATACTGGAAAATGATAAGGGACCTTATCCGAAGGACATTGAAGTGGTAATTTTAAACTTTTGAAACTCTGACTAGTAGATTTCTTTACATGTTTTTTTTCTTGTGTACTTTCCTTTCTCACTGCACACACTCAGACACACCTGTTTATTACATAAGCTTTATTTGATAAGTTTTTTTTCACTTGAACGGAGCGATAATCCGTCTAAATTGATGCAGTCACGTTTTTCCAGCTTAGTCCATTACATAACACTGCAAGCTGCAACTAGCCGTTGTAATTCCGATGCATAGGTTGTGAACAACAGGCGTGTTTGTTTGGTTTCTATTGTAGATCGTGTCAGATTCAGACATCAAGCACAACGTTTACTACACCTGCAGCGGACCTGGAGTCAATGAGTTTCCAGCGGGAGTGTTCTCTCTCCACCGTGAGACCGGGATGTTGACTGTGCACAAAGCAGTGGATCGTGAGGAGTTTCCGCTCTTCAGAGTGAGTGTGAATTTTAATTTTCTAAGACCACAGTTTGGAAGAAGTTCAGTTTACTGCCACATAAAACAAAAAAAGCTAATCATTGACAAGGTGGAAGTAGGTGCAGTAATGTTTGGCATATTTTTCTTAAAGAATGACTAAAGTGATTGTCAGTTTTTTAAATAGTTGCTATTTAATCTTTTGGTTATTTAGAGTTTTGTTTCTTTAGTCTCAATTCGAGGTTGTCAATAAAGAAGACGGGTGTTAGAAGGCACTTTAAACGACAATTTGACACTGAAAACAACGACATGGTTTGATAGACATTGCTCTTTCTTGTATATTTATGTGTGTTAACCTCTTTTCCTTTTTTTTTTTTTTGTACAGATCGTGGTCAGTGTTTTTGACCAACACACACGTCAGCCGACAGACCTGCCTCTGCCCATCGAAATCAAGGTCGACGATGTGAACGACAACGCTCCACAATTCTCAGGCCCGCTACAGTTTGTTGTGCAGGAGCGATGCAGCAAAGGTGAGGAAATAAGTGACAGTAATCCTGCAGTGTTTGACCTTCGGTGCAAACGGCGCTAAATGATCCTGATGTTACGCCTCAGGGACCCAGGTGGGGCAGGTGATCGCCACGGACAGAGACGAACCAGGATCCCGCCATGTTTTGATCAAGTACGCCCTCTTGACTGGACTAGACCTGTTTACTATTGATGGAGCCACAGGTGTTATCAGCACAGCAACTCACACCCTGGACAGAGAGGTGAGCCCTGCCTTACTTTAGAAATTCGATTACATAATGATCGATCTTGTTCCAGATTATAACTTTTTTTTCCCTCATACATTTCCATTTCTTTTTAAGGTACAAGCCCAGCATTTGGTGACTGTTCAAATCAAAGACTTGGGCGGCGACCCACATTGTCTGTCCAGCACCGCGACAGCAACGATTCAACTGACCGACATCAACGACAACCCGCCAACTTTCACGAAATCATCCGTGAGTGGTTAGAATATGAAAAGACTTGACATCATTTCTGTAATGAGTTGTAACGACGTGTTAGAGGAAAAAGAAAAAATCATTTCCTTGAAAGATTGCTTGTCTGATTTAAAAAACAAAACAAACAAAAAAAATCCTCCATCTTTTGTTTAGTATGACGTCAGCGTGCCGGAAAATGAAAGCGAAAAACTTATCCTTCGAATTCCCGTCGAAGATAAAGATTTGAAGAACACGCCCAACTGGATTTCAAAGTTTGTCATCACTAAAGGGAACGAAAATGGAAACTTCAGGATTGATACTGACCCCAAGACAAATGACGGGCTTCTGTACGTCGTAAAGGTGAGCGCGCGTTCAGGCTAAAGCTGTTATGAGCAGTCATGATGATAATATTTAATAGGAATCAGATTTGTGTTGACATTACTTCTGTGTCTGTTTTCTAGCCCTTGGATTATGAAGCAAACAAAAATGTAAAGCTCGAGATCACGGCAAAAAATCAAGCTGAGCTGAACGGCACCGACGCCCAGTGGATGTCCATCCCCGTGAATGTCGCCGTCACCGACGTGGACGAAGGCCCACAGTTCAGCGCTCCCACCGTCCGCTTCCTTGTCAAAGAGAACACACCAAATGGCACAGTGATAGGAACTTACAAAGCTGTGGATCCCGAGACCAAGAGCAGCGAGGGCATCAAGTAATTAGTCTTCTTTAAATTTGCATTTTGTAAAAAAAAAAGAAAAGAAAAAAAAAAAGCAGTCTCCTGTGGCAGAGTAACTGTTGCAGCTGATTCTTCCACTCATGTTTATGTTACTTCTCTTTAACACTGGAGGGCAGACTTTGACTGCTAAACCGAGGAGGCTAGTAACACACGAGTGCCTTTTCTTTTTTCCACTGTGCCGCAGGTATTACAAGACCTCAGACCCAGCCTCGTGGATCACTGTCGACAAAAACACCGGAGAACTGAGGGTCGCCAACACAATTGACAGAGAGTCGCAGTTCGTCAAGGACGGCCTTTACAACATCACCGTGAAGGCAGTCGATGCTAGTGAGTTGCTCGTGATTGACTTCCTCAAACCATGCAGAAAATAACATCAAAGATATCTCCCGTTCTTTCATAACAACGCCCGACCTTATCACAGTATGATAAAGAAACCTTCAACACTGCCTGCTTTGTTTATTCTTTACTCACACCTTTTACCTGATGGATGTTTGCCAAACACAGCAGAGACAGTGCCTCTATAAACTCACGCCGTTCCTTGGAAAGCGGCGGTTTGGTTAGACGTCTAGTCTCCATGTCTAATCACCACAGACCAGCTGTTTTGTCACCTGCGTACCTTGTGGTTGTGGTGTTGTGCCAGTCCAAGGTTGCAAAGAACACCAGCCCCACCTTCAACGGTATCAGCCAGAACACTCAACCCTGGCATTGTTGTACCTGAGAACACCTGTTGACAAGATGTGATGTGACTAGTCATTTGCGGTGACTCATGCTCTCTCTCGAGTGATGCTAAGACTTGGGCCCACATCCCAGTTTTTGTCAGGATTTGAGATTTGAGCAATTAAAACAATCTTTCTCGTCACTCCTGTGCGCCGACATGCCCACGTCTGTCCTACGTGTGAACCGACGCAATCCTTCTGTGTTTCAGACTCCAAGACGGGAACGGGAACCGTCATCCTTCAGGTGGAAGACGTCAACGACAACGTGCCGGAGCTCCCCACCGACGACCTGGTGCTGTGCGAGGTGGAAGGGAAGCTGGGCTCCGTCGTGGTTAACGCCGTAGACAAGGACAATGCTCCCCTCTCTTCCCCTTTCAGCTTTGCCTTGCCTCCTGACAACGATGGCAAATGGTCTGTGACCAACCTGAATGGTAGGTTGAAGTCAAGAAGTGTCTCGTAAATGACACGTGAACATTGATGTGAAAGTGTTTCGTGGAGACAGTCCAGCTATCAAGCAACTTAATCCAAGTCTTGCGCATGTATTTTAGTGTAAATATATCTTTAACACAAAATGTCAGAGCAGCACTTCAGTTTTTAATTCTTCTAGTACTTAGTTTTTGAAGCTCAAAACTGATTTTAAGTTAAAAAGTTGAGCACTTTTGATATGTTTAAAAAGAAATATATATATAAAAAAGAAGAAATGTTCATGTCCAGTTTTAAAAATAAATTACAAACATGAAAAAAATTAAATATATATATATTTTAAAATTCTATATAGTGGAGAGGACATTAAAGAATCAGACTTGTGCCCCCTGGTGGACAAACTATGCAATGCTGACAGTTTCTAAAGTGCTCTTTTGTATTGATTAGTACCTATTAGATCACATAAAATCAGATGTGTTATTCAGATATCAGCTGGGCTTCAGTACATGTTTGTGAGTGTATTGATGAGACATGGATTTTTGCTCCAAGGGAAATGTAAAGTAAAACACTGTGACCACAAGCAGTTCAATTCTCCTCTATTTAGTTTATTAATGTAGACTTACGGTGTCTTACTGTCTGTTTTAACCTTTTAGTGTAATAAAAACCCTTCTAGTGTGTTGCTATGTAGCTTTCACTAGAAACTGCTGCTGTCCGTTTATCTGTGTCTGCTCTTATCAGATACACCATAAATAAGTACATTCTGATAACGGCCACTTTAAAACACACACTGATGCAAAATTACACATTTTTTTTTCCTGCGTTAACGTCACCTGATTCGTCCCAAACCATTAACTTCAAGTCGTTTGCTGCTATGTTTTTGTTAATCGTCTCTCTGTTTTCTCCTCAGACACAGCCGGCACGTTGCAGCAGATGAAAGAGCTTCCTACGGGGATATACAAAGTCCCCATGAAGGTTACAGATCTGCAGGGTTTCGGTCGGGACCAGACGGTGAACGTAAGGATCTGCCAGTGCAGGAATGGAGTGTGCTTGGCCAAGGATCGCTCTGTGACATTAGGGGGAATGGGCATACTGGCTTTGCTGCTGCCTCTGGCCCTCCTCCTCCTGCTGCGTGAGTCCCCCACTACTATCATCTTGCCAACAGAACAGAGCAGGCTACACTGTGTAGATAATAAAACCAGGCAACAATGAGGATTTTTTTCTTTTTTTGGTGCTCAGGCATGTGTAGAAATGCAGAAGGAATGATAGAAAGCTGAAGGTTTTCTTGCAGAGTCTACCACACGTTGAGCACAGTACAGATGTGCAGTCCTTTACAACTCATTTCTGACATACTTCCTTTATTGTTGCAGTTCTACTCCTCGCATTTTTCTGCCTGACAAAGATGGAGAAAGTGCAGATGGAAGATGGCGGAGACAGTGGAGGAATCCTGCTCAAATCAAACACAGAGGCCCCCGGGGACGAAGTGGTGAGGACGTTATAATGAAACTGGGCTCATAGTCCCCACAAACAAACCTTTTTGTTATCCTAAGTTTTACCCCCCTACTCCTTTGCTTTTTTTTTTCTCTAATTTTTGCCTCATTGCTTGTTTTCGCTCTGCTCTCCAGGACTCCAGTCTCATTGTCCCGCCTTTCGAACCGGCAGCAAAGGGCGACATTAAGGGCAACATGCTGAATGCAGCGTGGCCGGGGAACAAGAGCTCGAGCACGATCGGAGCCAACAGCGTGCACGACGCCGGGATTTACAAGGGCGGCATCTCCACAACTAATATGCAAGAGTTCTACTCTGGCCAGTACGACAGCCAGTACGACGCTCAGTACGGAGGTCAGCTGCTCGGTAGCGCCGTCAACTTTGACAACAGACAAGTTGTCCAGGACCCAGCCTTCGTGCACACCTGGCAAACAAACGGCCGCTACCTACAGCAGGTAATGTCGCTTTACGATCAGCATTTCTGATTTTAATGCAAGACGACGGTGTGGGAGAAAGAGAGCGGCAGAGTGTGTCCAGATGTGAACACCTTCCATTCTCTGAGGTTTAATAAACTTCTTTGTTATCTGTTAGAGCTTCGCTAACTCTCATGTGTAATATAATCTCCTTCTCCAGGCCGCGATAGTATCCTCTGTAAACTTTAATATTTCTCGGTGAGAAATATTATTTTTCCAACTTGTTGGCGAGTTGTTTGTTCGCCGTGTAATATCTGTCTGCCAGTCATATCCTGAGCAGCCACGCATTATCACATGGTGCAGTATCTCCCCTCCCATCGTCCGGGCTCAGCCCCACGCCGAGTAATAACACTTCCTCTTCCGCTGACTTTGTCTTGCAGAAGCTGGGATATCTGGGAACGGCGGAGGACGAGCGGTTCGCAGACGACATCGTCCACTCATACAGGTACGAGGGGGCGGGCTCTGCTGCCGGCTCCGTGGGATGCTGCAGTGACAATGGCGACACAGATAACCTCGACTTTCTAAACACACTCGGGCCAAAGTTCAAAACTCTAGCGGACGTCTGCAGAAAGTCGTGAACAGTGACCCTCCAGAATAATAGTGTTTACTTTTCGTTGTACAGGATGTAGAGGCCTCTGATGTGAGTGCTCGGTAAGCCCCTGAGCATGAGTGAGAAAAAGAACTAGCGGGTGTTGGGAGTGCGCTTGTGTGCACTGCCTGGTTGTCGCTTTGTGTTTGTTGTATTTTCTTTGCTGCTTTTTGGTAAAAGTCTTTTGCACTGAAAACTATGCGGATGCAGTTAGTTGTGTACATACTGTGTGTGTTGTGTATCCCTGTGTTTTAATATGTCGTTTTGCAGCTTCATACAGGTTTCGTGATGGGCTGAGGGTTTTGTTTTTTTATCAGTTGGTAATTTTGGGTATGTTTTTTTAAAATCATTTCTAATCCACAGTAAATAACCCAGTTTTGCAATCATGTGGCTGATTTAGTTTCTAAACAAAAGTGTTTACAGTTTTTAAAAATATATTTGTAAAAAATTATGAATTAAATAAGACTAATACAACTGCCTCGAACATATTTCACACGACAACATTTCCTTTAAAAAGACATGCCTATTATTACCACCAGTCTTAAACAACAGCGCTGATTGACTTGTAGCGGTTTTCCAAACCGCACATTTCTTGTCTTTGCAAACACATTCCAATGCAGCTCCTGACCGGCAACTGGGCGTAGTTTCATCCCTCTGTCACCGAGGTTATTGCGACATTCTGACAGTAATCCTGTGAAAGTCAGCACAAGGGCGTGAACGGGAGGGGTGAGGTGTTACTGACTCTGCCTGCAACTGTCTGAATACAATTCTGGCTTGATGTGAGCGAAGCCTAATGATTCAGAAAGATGCCAATGAACTTGCTAATGAAAAGGGATCTTAAGGTTCCCACATGTGTATAATAGGCTGTTGAAGTTGTAATTATGCATGAACAGTACAAGACTGTTTCTATTGTTGAATCTTTTTCTACTGTAGCAGATGTAGTTTTGTCTTAAGTTTAATTTAAAGGACTTATAATTTCAAAAGAATACGTTTTGCTGTTGAACATGAGCTGTTCCGCCGAGAAGCACTTTGCTTCCAGCTCAGACCTCGTGTTACAGCATGCTTTGTGTAAATGAACATTACGTTGTAAAATAAACCAACCGACCAACAAAATGTCTCCTTGTGCTGTTTGGGCTTTGTTTATTGCAGAAAGATAAATGGTGGCGCAGAGACAGCTGCTCATTGTGTTCTCTGTTTGTGTGTGCTGGTGGTGAATGATTTACTAGGTGTGGCACTCTGAGCTTGCACAATAAGAATGGCACCGAGTTACCACACAACCAGACTCTTCTGCCCTTAGCTAATGTTTACCTCCAGTCGTCTGCACATCGAGCTGGGACAGTTGTGCCGTAATGCCTTTTCCTGTAATTATTAACTCTTCTCCATGCCAACAGTGGGTTTGCTTGCTGCCAAGAGCTTCTACTGTATAATAATTCTACTTTATTTGGTAAAAAAAAGGTCCACATTTTTCTAGGAATGGGAGATTCGCAGAAGGATCCAATCACATTAACTTTAATTAAGATTATTTGTATAATAGTTTTGGCTGCATTATCCACATACCTCCATAAATATATGATACAACATTGTGTTGAAATCCCTCCTGAGTTCTTGGTCTTATTACACAAAGGCTGACAGCAGGTTATTAATTTATAGGTGATATTAATAAAAAAAAAAAGAAGAAGCACATCAATGCTCCTGAACAATTTCTCCATCTTCCGCTATTGATGTCGTGCAAATCGGGCAATCTCTGTGATGAATTACGAATGAAGTTGAAGGCTGGAAATGTAATCAGAAGGTTTGGAAAAGGACCATCTGTCATGTGACCGCGGTGACGAGTATCAGATATGACAGCGGAGAACCGAATAAGAGGAAGGGGGGAGGGAATTAGTTCTTGGACTGAAACCGGTCTCTCGCTACGATCAAACACTGGAATCTTGTTTAAAAAGGAAAAATACAACAACATTATCTGCACAGATTAAAATAATACTGTCACAATTATGGAAGGATGTGAACGAGATGCCAACATCAAGGGTCTTCTTTCTTTCTTTTTTTTTTGTTGCTCAAAATCCCACCGGGGCCAATTAGGAGAATCTTGAAAAGTCATTTAACTCAGAATAATGAAAATAAGCAGTTAACCCAAATATCTAAAGAAGGCACTCCAAGCATAGACGGCGGCTCTATTACCCATATTTTACCAATAAAGTCTTTTTTTCTTCTTTAATTACTATCCTCTGCAGAAAGCTTCTGGTAATTACAGGTCATCGAGAAATTCAAGCATTTTTTTTTTATTTCTGAAGAATTAAACGTCTTTTTTTTCCCAAGAAATGTGACATGTTACGGGTGAAGGAAGCCACGCTCTCTGTTTAGCTCTCAGGAACTTCTGACTAACACAGAGATGACTTAGCATTGAGACACGGGAGTGAACGTTGCTTGAACAGCAAAATCAATTGGCACAGTTTATTTATAGGCGCTCACAACCCCAGCGAGTGTGAAATCTATCAGCTAAGTTCAAACTGAGAGCCGGGGAGGAAGGAGTTTGGTACGACAGCACTTGATCTTATATCACAAAAAAAAAGAAGCACCATTCTGCCTCACTCGTTTACCACAATGAATTATATTTTCACACATTTTCGTACCAAAAAAACACAAGAAACGTTTCTGTAATGGCCTTCTACGCAAAACAACACGCTCAGCTGTCCTAGCATATGGTATGTGCCGAGGGAGCTGCATGACAAAAATACCTCAGCAGCAATTAAAACGACAACAAATGAGAGTTTTAGATAATATTCTGTTTTTATCAAATGCATCCCCTATGTGAAGCAACGGCGCTGATAAGCCGCGTAATTCAATCGACCACTTTGTGTGTCCGTCCTTATCAGGGCTGCTTGAGCCATCACTTCCAGTCACTTCTGTAAAGATGCAATTAATTCTAAAGCAGTAGCGTGAAATTAATTTATTGCTTGTAATTAGTTTTCGTCATACTGTGAAAACAATCTCTCCAGATAGGGTGTTTTCACCCTCCACCAGAGAGTCTGAGGACACTTGGCTTTCGTCTGACTTCAATATGGAGGAGTTGCCTTCAGCTGCCAAGAGCGTCGAGCGCGCAAACTTCTTAACCCCCTGTTGACTCTGGCCTCGGGATTTATGGCTGTAAGTGGCATGTGCGAGATGTTTCAGTTGCTATCGCTGCACATGACAAAGTGATTTCCTCATGGTGTGCCTTGGGAGAGCACAAATGAGGTCACGTATATATGGAATTTAGGTTGTGAATAATTTAATCACTGAATGTGTTGCCGCATGCGAGAGGACTCCTTCAGATTGCTGTGACGAGCTGGAAAAAGAGGCTGTAATTATGTATTGTTTTAACTGATTCACATCCGTGCGATTCAGTTCCCCTCCTTTTTTTTTGTTGTCGTCGTCGAAGGCTGCATTAAACACAAGCTGCAGTTACAGCGACGGCCACTAGGTGTCACACTTACCTCTCCTCTGAGTGTGGCGGCGGGCTGTGGGGGGAATATTAGTAGAAGGTGGCTGATTTTCTTTTAGTGAAGACGCTCTTCCGTCTGTCACACGTGCAACCAAACACCTGAAATCACTTCAATTAAGCTGTGAAGTGGAAACAGCGGCGTTAAAGTGAAGTGACGTGACGAGCTGTGGCAGGAGCCTCATCACACTTTGATGTGGCATATGCCAGACCGTACAGTTATCACCGCTCATCGTCCCCTTCACTTACATTCGGTGTCACTTATCGAGCGAGATCAGGCTTCCTCTCGCCGCATGTGTGCTTTACCTCCCAGCTCATTAGCGAGATTGGGCCTGACCAGCGCCTCTCCGGGGTGGAGTGCCAAAGCAGTGGGCGAAACCGACCAAAGTGATGATAGTTTATTAAAAACGTACACTTTTATTGCCTCGAATGTTTAACCAGCTCTTAAATATTCATTATACCTCACACTTTCCGCATTCCCAGTAAGGACTGCGTTATGCTTTATTTATCGTAAGCAAACACTCATGAACAAAAAGTCAAAATTTCATTTCTAAAGGCTCTTAGCGTGAGCATTCTGTGATACTTCTGGTGTCGCTTACAAAAGAGAGAATATAATTAAAAGAAACACTGACAGATTTGACAGAAAGTGTGGGTTGTACGTTTATAACACCGTCTTTTAAAAGCACCCTCGAAACTTTTCTTGCATTTAGCTCAACAAACACAAACTTAAATCGCTCGCTACTGTTTGAGGTATCGTGTTTCTTCCTGGAGTTTCATATCAGTTGCAACGTGCAGCTTACATATTAATTAGATAAATCTGTTTAGCAGCGGAAAGCCTCAGTGAGACATCTTGGTCTTAATTAGCAAAAAAAGGATTCAAGTGATAAACAGTCGAAGGAAATATGTATAAATGCTAATTTAATTATTTTAATCAAACCCATAATTATTAATAGTAATAGTCGTATTTATTCTCCTATTTTGTTGTGGGAGACTTAAAGACAGTTTTTGCTGATCTGATTGATCGTGATCACCACTTTGTGTCGCCACAGTTGCTCGAATTTTAATTTACTGAAAAACAAATATCTATTTAGACCCCGTGGGACTCCAAATCATGTCATTATTTTAAGTGGTGTCGTCCAATTCAAGTCACTGTTCAAACAGTCTCAGCCATTTTAAGATGCCAGCGCCCACATATGTTTACTGTATTATCAGTGCCTCCAAGAGAGCACGCTGTATGTGAGGACAAAAACCAAGCCATGAAGTCCAAGAAGCTCTCTGTAGACCCCCATGATAAAAAAAAAAAAAAAATGGGGCAAGGCATAGATCCGGGCAAAGCTTTGAGTTTTCCCAGGAGGATAGTGGCCTCAATAATTGTGAAAGGGAAGAAGTTTGAAAGCATCAGGACTTTTCACAGAGTTAGCCATCGGGCCAAAACCGAGCAACGGAGGAAATAGGTCTTTGGTCAGAGCCAGTGGTCCTTCTAACAGAGCTTCAGAGGTTTTCTTCATAGGCTCGTCCGAAGGGCTACCATCCTAAGATGATGTCATCAGTCAGGCCTTTATGGTAGAGCTTGTAACTGAGCTATCTGGTCAGAAATCAAACACCAGGCACCGTTCACCCCCCGATCGTGATGCATGGTGGTGGCAGCATCATGTAATGGTGGCAGGAAGACTCATCAGATCTACACAGAGAATAAATGCAGCCAGTTATAGAGAGATCCTCGCAGCTCCAGAGTCCATACGACCGAACACTGGAGTGAAGGTTCACCCGTCTGCTCAACGGGGAAACAAAGCTGAAAGCAAAGACAACACTGCAGTGGCCTCAGGACAAGTCTCTGGCTATCCTTCAGTTTAAATCCCTCAGCACATCTGTGGAGACACCTGAAGATAGCTGAGGAGAAGATATCTCAAGCAGAGATTTTCAGGTTTCAGTCCAATTTGCACCGTGTGATAGAGTTAAAGCAGGTGATGGAGCATTGCCACATGAGATGCCACTAAAAACACGACTATCACAGGAGGAGGAAGGCCAGTTAACCGCTGACACCGATTTAAACCCTGGGGTCAGACCTGCTCTACAACATCATTGGCAGCATTTGTGATTTTGTAGTTGCATTTTTTTGATTTAAAATCGGATAAGTGTTCAGCCCTCGTATACAGATGCTTCCCAACCAATTGGAAGAAGCTTGAAGCCAATACACAGGTGTGTGAAGTTTGCAGAGACTCATCCAAAAAGGTTTGAAGCTGTAACGGGACCAGGAGTCTGAAGACTTTTGCAAATGAGAGATTTCAGGTTTTGATTTGTAATAAATCTGCAAAAACAAACATAAACAGAAGATCTCATGAGAATGAGATGCTGAGGGTAGATTGATGGGTGGAGAAAAAGTACATTTCCATAATTAAAAAAAAAGGAGCCTGACAATCCACCTGTGGCAAAAGTGAACGGGTGTGAATCTGAAGTGCGTATCTCCAGAAAGGCTGATGAGTTTACTGACCTCTTGTACACAGTGTCTTAACAAATATGTCATTATTTCTTCTGGATTTCAATCAGAGCTCCACTAAAAAACACACGAAAATAACAAACACACACAAGCCCACCTTCTCCTAACGAGAACCAGAGGACCACACTTTACTGT